GAGATACTTCGTTGTCCTTTTAATTTGCATCTCCCTGATGATCAGTGACTTTGAGCTTTTTTTTTTTTTTTTTTTTTTTTCATATGTCTCTTTGCCATCTGTATGTCTACTTTGGAGAATTATCTATTTAGGTCCTTTATCCATTTTTTAACTGGATTGTCTTCCTTTTGTTAAGTTGTATGAGTTCCTTATATATTTTGGAAACTAACCCTTTATCAGATGTATCATTGGCAAATAAGTTCCCCCATACAGTGGGCTCCCTTTTCATTTTGTTGATTGTTTCTTTTGCTGTGCAACTGCTTATTATTTTGATGTAGTCCCATTTGGTTTTCTCCTTAGTTTCCCAACCTTCTTTTTTAAGAGGATATACAAATGACCAATAAGCATGAAATGAGTTCAAGCTCATTACTGATCAGGGAAATGCAAAATGAAGCCAATAACTTACCGTTGATAGCTAAAAATACATGTTAAAATAAAGTAAACCCACTCACAATACCAAGCACTGGCAAGGACTAGGAAGACTGAAATTCTCAGACATTTATAGTAGAGTAGAAACAGTATTACTCTGGAGAACAATTGGGCAGTACATAACAAAGCTGAACATGTTTCATTTCAAAAATGCATATGTGTGCACCAAAGGCATGCATAAGAACATTTATATGGACTATTTGCAATCGCTTAAACAGAAAACCCAATATCCATCATTGGTAAGATGACTACCATATGATAGAGCAATAAAAGTGAAGAAACATTTGCCACATCTACCATGGATCAGTCTCAGTAAGTTGAGGGTAAGTCAAGGAAAGAAGCCATACACAAAAGGGTGTCCAGTACACATGGAGTTCAAAAATAAGCAAACTAATTTATGTGATAAAAGTCAGAATAAGCTTTTAGGGGCTAATAACTGGAAAATAATCAGAGGGAAGCCTTTGAGTTGATACAGTGATTTCTTGATTTGGGGTGTGGTAATGAGAATGTGCACTTTCTAAAAACTTATTTAGCTTAAGATTTATGGGCTTTTCTGCATAAGTATTATCCTATATAATAAAATCCTAATATAAGGTGACCAGACGTCCCACTTTTGGTGGGATAGTCCCAATTTTTAACAATTTGTCCAGCGTCCCGGGCATTTTAAAAAAGTCCCGATTTCCACCAAAACTGGTTTGGCTCAGTGAATAGAACGTCAGCCTGCAGACTGAAAGATCCCAGGTTCAATTCTGGTCAAGGGCATGTACCTTGGTTGCAGGCGCATCCCCAGTGGGGAGTGTGTAGGAGGCAGCTGATCAGTGTTTCAAATTCTCTCTCTCCCCCTTCCTCTCTGTAAAAAATCAATAAAATCTATTTTTTTTTAAAAACAGTCCCGATTTCTGAGACATGGGACAAATTGTTAAAAATTGGGACTGTCCCACCAAAAGCGGGATGTCTGTTCACCTTACCCTAATATGCAAATTGACTGAATGGTGAAATGACCAGTCACTATGAAGCACACTGACTACATGATGGCAGACTCTCAGCAATGGAGCTGCCTCCAGCCCACAGGCCCTTACTTGCAGAGGCAGCAGGGGGTGGGGCCAGTGAGCGGGCTGTGCCAGGCCAGCCAAGATGGATGCCAGTGGGGGCCCCTCAATCACTCCGCTGGTCACCCCGCGGATTGGCCCTGATTGATGGCCAGACCTAGGGACTCTACCTGTACACTCATGCACCAGGCCTCTGGTAGTACAATACAGTGTTTGCAAATTTTGCTCAGCCAGCATGGCTCGGTGATTGAGCAACAATCTATGAACCAGGAAGTCACAGTTCAATTCGAGGTAAGGGCTCATGCCTGGGTTTCAGACTTGATCCCCAATGTGGGGCGTGCAGGAAGCAGCTGATCAATAATTCTCTGTCATCATTGATGTTTCTATCTCCCTCTCTCTTCCTCTCTGAAATCAATAAAAAAAAATATTTTTTTTAAAGTGTTTGCAAATTTTTACAAATGACTTAACTATATGTGGGGGATGAGACAGAAATATGGGTAATAGGCATGTCTAAACTGGTAAATCAAGAAATAGCTACCATATTGTTTAGAAATAAAAAGTAATCACAAAACAATTAAAAGAATGGTTGTCCTGGTGAGTGGGAAAGGACTGCTTTTCTGTAATTTTTGGTATTAGATATTTTTTAAGTGACATGCATATAACATGTTTATAGGTCAACCCATTTAAATTCTTCACAAAGGAAAAATTACCGATGTAGGTAAAGATGTAGGTAAAAATGTAAACAGTTTCCTACAACTAATAATGCTAACGTCTGTCTGATATAAGAAAATTAATTGCTTTTAGGCTAATTACAGTTTTAAACACTAAGTTTAAAAGTTAAAAAATTATATAAGAAAATGGTAGATGCTCTCTCTCCAGTTTAAAGCCAAATGCTAATCATTTAGAAAGGAGGAAGGGCGTGAAGGGTGGCAGAATATGGCACCCTAAAATATGCCACCTAAGCTTGAGCACTTAAAATAAAAATAGCAGATAAAAGAGGAGTACCCGAACTTACCTTTTTCTTCCTGAAAACAAGAGATCAAACCCCACAGGGAAGAAGCCCTCCTGCACCAGAAGTAACATTCTTAACACCAAGGACAGGACGTTGACACTCAGAGAATTCTACACAAACCTGATTAAAAGAATTCTTACCTTTCTTTAGCCTCCTCACAGATGACTTTCCCACAACTGCCTCTTTGTTCAGCCTAGTATAAAAAAGCCTTTAGGTTCTGCCACTTCTTTGGGTCTTCATATCCTCATGAGGACTTGCTTCACATAAAACTTAAACTTTCATGACTTTTCCCTGTTAATCTGTTTTATGACAATTTAATTCGCAGGCCCAGGAAAAACCCTAAGAAGTAAATGTTTGTCTCCCCCGCAGTAGCAAACCCTAAGCACATTTATCCCACTAATGCAGAGCAAACAATCTTAGTTGCTTACATCCCGATTTTCTCATTATATAACACAGGTTGATACTTAATATGCAGTGTGTTGCTCATGGAGGGAAGTTCTTATTCTTTTAGTTTATTCTCCAGATTAAACTTCCATTTTCCTGTGCAATTTATACAAAATGCTCACAGGAATTACGGGAGGACAATGCTCCAGGGATCCATCACTTGGGGAACACGGTTGAAACACCTTCTGTTACTGTGCACTGTGACTCTCCAGGAGGCGCCTCCCCATGACTCAGGTGGTGAGGTGCTTCAAAATTTGTGAAATTAAAAAAGAAAGAAAACAATTCTAATAGGAAGAATCCACTATAGAGGGAATTGGGAGGCAGCTATTAGAAGGTTTGGGGCAATCTAGAAATCTGAAAATCTCAAACTTCCTGAATGCCTTAAAATCTTTCCCAGGACTAGTAATATATTTTAAGGTCTCCTGGCTATTTGGTAGCATATGTCAGGTACACTAAAGGTTTTAACTGGCTTTTCTAAAAGACAAATTCATTTCATTAAAATCACATTTGACACTTTTCAAAAAAAGAGACATTGGGTGCAAAAAAGGCTTTCTGAATGTTAATTTATTTTGTGTTTTTTGTAAGTCAAGGCTGTATGAACTACCCATTATTTAGATACCAGAATAAAAAGAACAAGCAAAGGGTGTATAGAATATCTGATTAAAAAAAAATCTGAACAGAAATTAAATATACAAGTTTGTTAAAGAGAGTGGTAAAAACTGAATGTTATGTTTTATGGAATCAGTACATCAAGTTTTACTTTAGTAGCTGATAATTCTTATAATTCTCCAACAAAACAAAACGAGTTATGGAGAAACAAAAAGAAATAATGTCCCTTTCTGAACCCCCATTTGATAAGACTGATTTATAATAGTATCTAGCTTATTTATAATATTCAGTTTCAGTTCTCCCTGTGCAAATAATATACGTGGTCATTAATGGTGGTCTGATAAGGTGAAATAGGTTTCTCTTAGGGTAGTTCAACATAATAACCCAAATATTAAAAAGCTATGAAAAATTAGTGGAAATAAAACAGTACCTAGGGAACATAATTCAATCATGTGCGTAATATTTTTAGAATATTTTTAAACATAAAATCACAGTCAAAGGCAGTGACAATGTTGCATACTCAGTGCATTCATTCATGTAGTGCATTCCTATGACTCATTTGGAGCTTCACACCAAGTAACCACCACACTTCTAATGAATGGGCTTCAATGTACACAAATTTGTCCAATTCTTTTAAAAAATCTAAGCATCTTTTAAGATCTTAAACTTGACATTTAAAGACTTGGTGTTTTAACATCCCAAACACTGGAAAGAATAAGTGTGAAACATAATAACCACCTTTTGTAAGCAAGACTGGTTTACTTTTTGTAAAAGCCCTTAAAACAACTCAACTCTGAAGATTGAGAGGGATATACATTTATGATTTGGCCAAAGGAAATTCAAATGGCTTTCCTGGAGTCAAATGTACCCCAGGACATATACAAGGAATGAGTATAACTGTGGCAGGTAAGAATCTGCCTCTGTGTAATAAATGCTCTTAAGCAATGATGCTGTACATTTTGATAATACACTATGATTTGTTTGCTTCCCCTCATTAGGGCCACAAGAAAATTAAACTCAAAACTATCGTGTTAGGACAGGACATTTGATGACCCGTTTTAAACAGGGTTCTTCATTCAAGGAAAAGACAAAGCCATGAGTCAAATTAGTTGACTTTCAATGTCTTATATCCCAAGGTGAATCAGGTGACACTGATTTAAGCCCAAGTTAATTTAGGCAGTTTTTCAACCACAAGAATTAGGTCATTCTTAGTACATATTAATAATTAAACCAACATATACACAATTAGCAATATCCTACATAATATTAAATGTTTTAACAACTTGTTCTCGATTATTTTATACTTAGTTAATTTGCTGCTTGGTTTTAAAAAAGCTCAACTTTATTTTACAATGTACTTTTCATTTCTAAGTGTGTTCTGTAATTATTTCATCAAAGCGGGTTCAGTTCTCTGGATTCTAAGAGCCAAACTCAACTGTATCTTCTGTTATCTGTTTAAATTCATAATTGCCTCTGCCATCCATATGCAGGTAGTACTGTGGGAAAGAAGGGGAGGAAATCAATAAGAGAACTTCCTTCTTGTCAAGAATTTACGTAGAGATAATTATACAAGTAAATGATTAGAAATGATTATTTTAAGCAACTAAGCTTAAATTTTTAAAAGTTGATTCATGGAAATGCATATAGCTCTTAAGGTAAGACTAAACAAGGAAGTCTATTCTTTTAAAAAATAGCACTATAACTCTGATTGTAATTAAACACTAGACTTCCTCACTATTTAAAGGAACAAAATCTATAAGCATCCCACAAATTAGAATGTTTCTACAACCAAGAGCCTGAGCTACCACAGGTCAAACTGCACCAAGTGCAAGTCTGTTCAATCCGACAGCCTTTCATGCTTCCGGAATAATGTTTCCTAGGTCAGCTTAGAACCTCTAACGAAAGGCTTTCTGTTTATTTTTTTATTTGCTAGAGAAAGAAAAGAGCTATCCCTATATTTCCCATCCAATGAAGAGACTCAGGACAATGGTTAAAATAAAATTTTCTGTTTAGTGGCTTTTTATTGACAGAAAAAACTTCTGTTTTCCATACTTATTTTTTAGCTATTCTGGCTCTAACTTTGCTGTTCTTCCTGTCACCTCTCCTTTACATGGTACTGGCCTGATGGTTATTTTGCTACTTATCTATATCTATATCTATATCTATATCTATATCTATCCATATCCATATCCATATCCATAAGACAAGGAGAGGTAAAACCCAAGACCATTCACTGTCCTATTAAGTTTATGAACTTCTAAGCAAACACATAGACTTGCCCTCGCTGGGTGGCTCATTTGATTGAAGCATTATCCCATATACCAAAAGATTGTGGATTCGATTACCAATCCGGGTAGCTAGGTTGTGGATCCAATCCCCAGTTGGAGCACATATGAGAGGCAACCCATTAACGTTTCTCTCTCTCTTTCTCTCCTCCATCCTGCCCCTGTCCTCTCTCTCTGATGTCAATAAACATATCCTCAGGTGGGAATAAAAAAAGAAATCACAAAGGCTTGAATATAATTTAAACTGCTTTTATTTCTAATTATTCAATCTCTCATTCAACTCATGAAAATATGAACAAATTATAATGCCATAAGATTACAACTACCTTTGGCTGTTGTTAATCCTCACCTGAGGATATTTTTTTCCCATTTATTTTTAAAGAGAGGGGGAGAGAAGAAAAGAGGGAATGAGAAGAAAAGAAGGGGAGAGAGAAGAAGAGAGAAAAACACTGAAGTGAGAGAGACATTTTGATAGGTTGCCTCCCACACAAACCGACCGGGGCAAAGGATCAAACCTGTACATGCCCTTAACAGGGAATTGAACCTGGGGACCTTCGGTGCCAGGGCCAATGCTCCAACTACTGAGATACACCAGCCAGGACAAAAGCACTATCTTTAAAAGTCACAGCTATACAGAATTCACTATGCCTTATGAAGTACTTTCATATAGGCTGTTTCTTTGATCTTCAAGGTAACCTATGAGACAGGCAGGTAAGAATCGATAACTTTTTTACACAAAGGAAGCAATTGATGCCAGAAGCAGTGGTGTCTGAACCCAGGTTTTCTGACTTCAGTCCCATGCTCATTTGTACACTGTCATCTAAACCAGTGGCCGCCAACCTTTCGGACCTCTTGGACCACCAGTGATCTGCGGACCACCGGTCGGTGGCCGCTGAGCTAAACTACAGGTTTTTGCAGGTAAAGACAGTACTCTGTATCCCTCGGACACTAAGCCCAGTACTTGACACAAAAGATGCTCAAACAGCGGTGTATTTCATAGGATAAGATATGCTTACCACTGACCCAACTTTTCTCAGACCCTTTCTTTTACCTAAATTTTCTGTATTTTTAGGAAGGAAAAATAAGAAGGAAAGCAAGAAGGGAAAAGAAAAAAAGAAGGAAATAAAATGAGCTCGGCTGGTGTGCTTCAGTGGTTGAATATTAACCCATGAACCAGGAGATCAGGGTCAGGACACATGCGCAGGGTGCCAGCTCCATCCCCAGTAGGGGCATGCAGGAGGCAGCCAATCAATGATTCTCTCTCATCACTATGTTTCTATCTCTCTCTTCCTCCCCTTCCTCTCTGTGAAATCGATAACATAGTAAGGAATAATAATAAAATGAATTAAACTGGGTTTATTTTTAGGGTTTGATCATTTTATACTAAGAGTTGAAAAGAACTGCCTGCCATGCTGAGAGTGGCACTGCTGGAATGGCACAATGTAAACCTCATTAGAATATCTTTGCAAATTGTGGTGACTACCTAATGAATTCTACTTTATCACAGTGCAATGATGCACAGAGCTGACAACACTCAGATTCCTGTCATGCTGATCTCCACTAAAAGTATCCCTAGACTTTTGGGGATCTATTCCTTCTGAAGACTCTTTCCCTTTCTGCTAATACTGGATGGTAAGAAAAAGTTTACTTGGCCACAGTTGTGATAAAATTATGCAGATTTTAGTCAGTTATTAACAGAGGCCCGATGCACGAAGATCCGTGCAAGAACGGCCTTCCCTCCCGTGGCTGCTGGCACTGCCTTTGCTTCAGCCAGAGCCGCCTTTCAGCCTTCCCAAGCTGCCCAGAGGCGCGGAGCAGAACACCTGTGTCCCAACCCGCGCCCTAACCCGCGCCCCACTCCCACCCCCATCGCTCAGCGCCCGTGTATGCAAATTAACCCATCATCTCTAAGATATGGTCAATTTTATTAGTGTAGACAGTAATATCTAAAACTGGAGAACTACTAACTGGTTTTCAAATATTCATTGTATATAACAAGGATTGTTTATATATATTGTAGCTTTCAAAACTGACAATTACAATAATATTTAAGGAAATCCTCTTTTATTTTGTAAGACTGACACAGAATCAACCTTTTCCCTTAAGGTTTATATATAATATATAAGGGAATATACTCCAAGAAATCTCAAACCGCCCTGACCCTTGTGGCCTGTTGATTAGAGCATTGGTCCGTGCACCAAAAGGTTTTGGGTTTGATTTCCAGTCAAGGTCATGTTACCTGGGTTGCACATTTGATCCCCAGTCCTGGTCGGGGTGCATAGGGGAGACAAAAATTTGATGTCTCTCTCACATTGATGTTTCTCTCTCTCTGTCTCTCTCTCCCCTTCCTCACTTCCACTCTCTAAAAGTCAATGAAAAGAATATCCTTGGGTGAGGATAAAATGAAAAAGAAAATGTAAGAAATACAAACCTCATGATGTTTCCAAAGAGACTTCCTATGAGACACAGTGAAGAGGGTGATGCCAACCTATTATAAAGAAAATGACTTGTTATACCAATAACACAGATTACAATTTAAACCACTCTATATAGTTTAAGACAGTCGCCAACCTTTCAGACCTCACAGACCACAGCTTGGTGACCGCTGGTTTAAGATATTAAGATGATGGTCTTTAGTAGCTATAGTTAAAAAATCAGTGTCAAAGAGAAAATAATTACATTCAATGCCAAATGTTCAAGGTAATACAAAACACAGGCCATAAACCACATAATAAAAATGAACAGATATCAGTAAAGTTCTTTAAGGGGGAAAAAAACTAACAGGTACTAGCATTATGTATTATTTTGTTTGGGGTAGAAAAATATATATCCTAGCACATTTTCTATATATTGTGAAAAATACATGAAAACGTTTAAGAATGATAGAAATCACAAAGGTCAAGATCAGAAAAATTAAAGCAATATAGTTCTATCCATAGTCAATTTGCTTTTTAAATACAGAGTCATCATCCTTTCTGGAAAATGCTGTTTTGGAATGTGTCTTGGAATTCAGATTTTGGAAATGCAGTATTTACCAGCCCCAGAGGGTTCTGGGATAAATTCTATATATAAACACATGAATGTTTCTATTACAACACATACAGACAGTGACAGTAAGATAGTTAAAGGAATTTAAGTACTTTTTGTTAGTTTAGGCTAGGTTTAGCTACCCAGTAAGCTTGCCAGAAAATAATGAAAAATCTTTTGGTTTTAAAAAACTTACTGGATTTAGACTGCAAATAAGCTTCCACATACCTGAACTTCAGATTTAAAAAACAACAACAGTAATTTAACTAACTGCTTTGAATCAGTGGTTCTCAACTAGATGCCGGTGTATGCATGTGATTTTGTCCCTTAGAGGACATTTGGCAATGTCCATAAACATTTCTGATTGTCACAACTGAGAGTGCTTGGACAATTAACAGGCAGAGGCAAAAGTCACCACCAAACAGCCTGTGGTGCATCCACAACTAAGAAATTATCCAGCCCAAAATGTCAATAGAGCTGAGACTATGAAATCCTGAACTTTCCATCATGAGTTCTAAATCTTACTGTCATGTGATAATTTTTTTAAAAATCAGCATTAAGTATATTCTGGATCATTTTAATCATGAGATTTAAAGTACCTAACGCTGTATTTACATGTCTGCTGTATGAAGTGATGATATGAAATAATATCACTTAAAATTTTAAACGCCTTAAGTTTAGCTGCTACATGGAAGGGTTCTCAAGTTGGTTAGGAACTGTAGAAAAAAATAAGCGTATTATATATCAGTTGTTAATAAGCATAAATTTCAACAGTACAATAATTATCTGACTTCTGAAAGCTCATTTATCATTTCTCTTTTCATGATTCTACAATAATTAAATTAGAACTTGATTTAGTGAGGCACTGTTTATAACAGAATTACTAAAGTCAAGATTCAAAACAGGAGAACTACATCTTACATGGGGGCTTAGAGGCTATGACTAGATAAAGGAAATCACATGATCAAAGTTATCAGCGAAGCACTTCTATATCACTGATCGAATAGAGACTATCTGGTTTTATGTGTAAGAGAATACCACCAACACCTCTAATACCTATGAATCTAAAAATCTATATATACAAATGCATAGAAAATTATAAATGACCAAGACTTATCCAAAAATAGAAAACAAATCATTAAATAAACAAAGTCAGTAGTTAAAATCTCCCTATAAAGATGAATGTAACAAATATATTCTTTCATCAACGAAGCAAGCATTCCACAAAGATGCTCATGCTGCCAGCTCTCAGTGGCTGCCCCCGGGGACTGGGGGACTCCAGTGGGGCTGAGAGGCCTGGGCGCTGCTATCTTGTGGCTAATGGGCGTCGCCATCTTTGTGATGCAGTGATAGTTAATTTGCATATTACCCTTTTATTAGATAGGAAAAATTCCCAAAGAACAGTTACAAAATGTTAAAAGATTCTGTACTTCATTTACTTATGTAAATTCTTGTTGGATTTTGCTTCAAATTTTTTATAGATGTTTGTGATAATCTCTCACAGGAAAAAAAATCATCTGAGACTACTGAATAGAATGGAACCAATGTAGATAGCCCCAGAAAAGGCTTTGGTAAAATACTGCCTAGGCCCGAGGGAAAAAAAATAAAGTTGCCAAATGATTACTGTTGCATTTTCTTGATTAAAAACAAAAAACAAAACAAAACAAAACAAAAAAACCCACAAATCATATTTAGGTAAAGTTCATGGAACAAATTAAAAATATACCAGTTTATTAACTCTTAATATAGGGAATGAGGTAAAAGAAAAATAAATTTAAATATATATTTTTGTTGTCATATCTAAGATGTGGCTAAAGGAAATTATATACAGAATTCATTTACTTTTTCTTATATCTATAATCACCTTAAAATCCTTGCTAAAACGAGATATCTTCTTTGATAGTAATTTTGTTACTTAATGACTTAAAAATCTTCTCTTTGGGTAGAGATTTGGTCAGACACAGAGTAGAGCAGGAAGGAGGACATGAACCTTCACACTGCAAACCTGTCCCCTTACCTCTCGACAGTGATTGTAGATGTAGCCTTCCACGTCCACACTCACTGCGCTGGTGCACTCATCCAAGATGGCAAACTGGGGTTTATGATAAAATAATCTTGCCATCTGAAGCAAAAGAAATATTTTTGCATAATCACACACAGAAATTAATGAGCTAAAGTAGATTTAAATTAAGTATGCACTTACTGTCTTATAAAGCAAGTGTAAAAATTATTCTAACTCAAAAAATCTATTTTCCAGAAATGAAAGCTATGTAAATAAACATAATTGTTTATACTGTCTTCCTGAACAAAGAAATGTAATGCATGGAAAATATTGGTCAGAGTAAAACAAAACTTTCAGGACTGATACGAGAGGTAAGTAGAGTTTCAACAAATATTAAAGGAAGTTCTGTACACAAGATTAAAGGATACCTATTTTAACCAAATCGTAGAATTCAGACTTATAAATGGTTCAGGTACAAAAATATGTCTATCTTTAATGTTCTGTTGCTTAAGTAATGCCCATTAACATTACATTGTCAATATTAATATCCCCACCAATAATTTTTGTGCATCTGTTTCATTGGCTTGTTCAGTTTTTAAAGCCTTTGCTAATTTGTAAGTAAAAATTAACATCAAGATTGTTATAGCTTACATTTTTTTGATTAGCAGAAATGCTGAACATTTTCTCATGTTTACTTTAGATATGTGTTTTATTTTCTGGGAATTACTTATTCAAATGCTTTGTCTAACAGATATTGCAATTCGTCATCTGCCCCTAACAATGATCTCCATGTTGCTCAACCAATGGACTCTTTTCTGTCCTTGCCCAATTTATCTTCTCTGCAAAAGTCAACTCAGGTAACCACTCCTTCTTTCTTAAGAAAGTGACAGTGAAACCATGACCTTAAGTTTTTTCACACTTCTTTGGCTGCTTTCTCAGAGTCTTTTCCAGCATTTCACCTTTCACTTAAGCATTATAATAGCTAAGATCTGGAAATAGCCTAAGTGCCCATCAGCAGATGAATGGATTAAAAAACCATGGTATATCTACACAATGGAATACTAGGCTGCTGAAAAAAAGAACTCTTACCATTTGCAACAGCATGGATGGACATGGAGAGCATTACACTAAGCAAAATAAGCCAGTCAGAGAAAGATAAATATCACATGATCTCACTCATTTGTGGAATATAATGAACAACATAAACTGATGAATAAAAATAGATCCAGACAGAGAACAGACCATCAAATTTCAGAGGGAAGGCAGGAGAGATCAACCAAGGAACTTGTATACATGCATATAAGTAGGGAGAGCTCAATAAGGGGGAAAGGAGATATAAGTAATACTATATGTAATACTTTAAACAATAAATAATTTAAAAATTTTTTAAATGTTGGGGTCCCTGGGGCTAACTCTCTTTTTCCTATATTGTATTTCCCTAAGTGTTCTCATTAAATCTCATGATTTCAAATATTATGTACATTTGTAAACTCCCAATACATATCTCTCATTCATACTTCATCTTCTAATTTCCCGACTGATATATAAAAATTCCTATTTGATCTTTCCACTTGGATATCTCACAGGACTCTTAGATTTTAAAAATCTAAAACTTAGATAGATTTCCTAGATTTTCTCCTTAAAATCCATTCATCTATTACTCCCAATTTTAAACATTTCAGAAAATGACACTATCAGATAGTTGCCAAGCCATGCTGTGAGCCTCTGTGGGCCTGGAAATCATGGCAGTGAGGTGGCACCAATCCATACCACTCTGACTGTTTCTGCTGTGCTCAGAAACCTATGTGTAGAAATACCAAGGCAGATGACAGCTCTTGGGTTGGGATTCATATAATATGAGGAAACAAAAAGTGGGGAAGGAAGTTAAGGGGAAGAGGTCATTTGTTTATTCCGTGAAGAAACACCTCCTGAATACCTATGTGCTAGGCCTCATACCAGGCCCTGGATTATTAGGTCTGTACCAGGCAGGAAAGGAAACAGTCAAGAGAGAACTGATCAATTGTAAGAGGGAGTGGTCAATATTTAAGAAATCACAGTAAGTTTAAAGGGGGGTAGTTTACAATTAGGCAAAAGAAAATATTTTGTAATTAAATGGATTAAAAAGTCACTAAAATTTTTATGACAGTGGTATTGCTCATAAAGAGGTTTGGCCCTTCATCATAATTTTATAAACATTCCAACTTTTCTATCATGTGCACACTTTTCATAAGTCACAGTAAGAAAACCCGTTACTAACCAAGAACAAAAATAGTGGAGTGGGAAGGTTAACTATCAGTCAGAGAAATAAGATACGTCAACTTATAATATTAGGTGGAATAATGCTGGCCAACTTATAATATTAGGTGGAATAATGCTGGCTGATGCTGGCTGGGCCCAAATGGGTGCAATGAAGGGAAATGTCACTTCATTGAAAGGAAATATCACTTGAGATATTTCTCTCAATGTCAAGGGTCAATGAGGGAAGAGAACAGGAAAGACGCCCCACCTGCACAACAAAGATTACAATATGTTGGTTCAGAGCAAGAATGCTGGTGTCAGTCACCTGCACCTGAAACTCGTCTCCATTCAGGAGCTATATGGGTGCTTAAGCTGGCCAAGTCTTACCCTTGCCTGGACCTTACTTCACAGGGCTGCTGGAAGAATTAAACAGGATCTGCCATTCACAATCTCCTTTTCCTCATCATTTTCATAGTGCACTTTTTCAGTAGCTATATACTGCCTCGTATTACAGTTAGTTGAGAATATTTGGATCTCCTAACACAGGAGTGGGGAGCCTTTTTTCTGCCAAAGGCCATTTGGATATTTATAACATCATTTTTCAGGTCATACGAAAGTATCAACTTAACTCTTTAATGCCGTAAGTGTCTATAGACACAATTAAATTCAAAATATCATGGCTTGTGGGGATGGTTTTGGTTTGGGTTAAAAACTAGCCTGCTCGCCTTAGCCAGTTTGGCTCAGTGGATAGAACATTGGCCTGCAGACTGAAGGGTCTCAGGTTCAATTCCAATCAAGGGCACATGCCCAGGTTGTGGGCTCAATTCCCAGTAGGGGATATACAGAGGGCAATAAATCAATGATTCTCTTTTATCATTAAAGTCTCTCTATCTCCCTCCCCCCCCTCTCTCTCTCTCTCTCTCTCTCTCTCTCTTTCTCTCTCTCTGAAGTCAATAAAAATATATTTTAAAAAGCCTGATATATTTGGTCAAATATTTCATTAACTCACCTCTAATGCTTTGGCAGGGCCAGACCAAATGATTTCACAGGCCTTATACAGCTTGAGGGCCACACATTCCCCATCCATGTGCTAACTAGATTATAAGGTCAGACACTTGGCTAATATTGAGCTCTGTCGAAATTTTGCCATAATTAAATTAGGTTTCTTACTATTAAAATAATGAGATAATAATTTCATTTATACTAAAGGAACTTTTAGAAGTTTGTCACCAGACTTCCTATTTATTATTCAATAGTATTATTCCATTCCCTCATATTCAAACCCTAACTCTCCTTGCCTCAAATTCCTTTGGATCATTTGTTTTACACAAACCTTCACTTACAAATTTGCTATTTTATTTTAGGTAAACTTTTCAAGACTGTTCTTCCTAAAAATTATAATTTTTATAATTAATGAATGTAAATTTTTATAATTTATAAAAACTGTCTTGTCTTCACTGAACTTTTTATTTGGAAAATTTTTAAACCTACCAAATAAATGAAAGAATAGTGAAATGAATATACATACTTTACCTAACTTCATCAATGTTAATATTTGTTACATTTGCCTTTTCTTTCTCGCCACAAAACTTTGAAAGTAGCAAAACAATATGCTGTCTTTTAAACATCTGATCAATTCTCCAGGCATTGGCCCACACAGAACATACCGTGAATGGCACGGTCATACAGCAGTGCCATGGGTGAGCTTTCTCTCTATCGCTGTGGAACAGGCTTTACAGGATTCCTTCCCCACACCCGTCCTTGTTTGTTTTGTCAATCGTCACCCAAGGATATTTTCCCACTGATTTTCAGAGTGTGTGGAAGAGAGAAGGAAAGACAGAATACTGATTTGAGAGAAACACATCAATTGGTTGCCTCCTGCAGTAAGATACCCTCTTGCTCGAGACCTTGCACTCTTGTTTATCTCTTCTGTGCCTTTATACCACACACAAAGGATTCATTAGTTATGCACATTTTTCTTTCCCTGAATTTCCATTGTGTCCATTTATCCTCCCATTTTCTTTGAAGTCATAGTACAGAAATTTAAATTTGTTTTGACTTATACCGTGTTTCCCCGAAAATAAGACATCCTCCGAAAATAAGACCTACTTACAGGTTTCCTTCTGAGTGAAATATAAGGCATTCCCCTGAAAATAAGGCCCCTCCTAGGCTAAACATGAGAGATTTGGTCCACTGATTCTGAAAGAAATGGAGTCACAAGAAATTCACCAGGAAATTCAGGAATTGGATTGTTATGATGATGTTCCAGAAGATGATGACATGATTGTCATTGAACAAATGAGTAAATTCTTGATACTGTAGGATTCACAGTTTGTCTGGTTTGTGTTGACAACTACTGTACTACCGTACCGTATACAGGTAATAAATTTCCTTTATTTTCATTTAACAATAAATGTGTACTGTATTCTTCTTCATGGAAAAATAAGTCATCCCCTGAAAATAAGACCTAGCACATCTTTGGGAGCAAAAATTAATATAAGACACTGTCTTATTTTTGGGGAAACAGGGTAGTTATTCCTATAGCCATCTTCTAAATTGATTCAAGAAATGCCCAATCACTTCAAATTTTCACTCCTTCAGCCCAATTACCATTCTGAATTTGGCTGGCATCTCCCTTTTCTTTTGTTTATTGTTCATTCTTCACTCTAAATTATACTCATATTATAGTACTAGTCAAACAAATCACATTAGGTTGATATTTTGTTTGCATCGGATGGATATGATTTTGGAAAAAACAACATACAAAATCAGGAGGTAGGAGGCAACAAGAAGGTAGAATATAACCTGAAGGTACTGAATAAGGCTGCAGTTTTCTCTAGCTTCCACAAGACTAATATTCTGGAAAGAAAAATTCCTCTGGATCTGCTCAAACTGTGATATATTCCATTAGAAAATGACTCTTTAAAAATGATCTCTCTTAACAGAGTACTCAAAATATCACTTTTAATATGTATTGTTCTGTAGTGACATTTGATTAGGGATAAGTTCCTCTCAAACGCTTTTTTATAGTAAGAAAGCTTTAAAATCAAAATAACTTTAGGTAGCAGATACTGAGCCCTGACACAAGGATATATATAATGACAGAGAGAAAGGGTAAGAACAGAATAAAGAATAAAATGATAATAAAATTAGAGTTGATCACCTCTAATATCTTCAGCTACTTCAGAGGACAGCCCAAGACAAAGAGTTGTCTGTAGGGAAAAGATACTGAAGGAGATCTCATAACCCAACCATAATTACTATATGTCCCAAGACCAACATGGTACAAAGTTTCCTCAACTTTTATAAAAAATGGATTAATGTATATAATTGAATCTACAATTTTTTCTTTCATAGGCAAACTCAAAAGTTTTCAGAATTTCAAATTTACATGCAAGTTACTTTCAAGCACGTTTATTATTTAAACTAATCTATGCTATAAAATTGCCATTAAAAATATAAAAGTACACCTGAGACCTGAAAGGACCACAACTGTGGGGCCCCGACCGGCGCGGACACGTGGATTCCACAGAAAGGGTGGATTTTGCAGGGGATAATGGGGGTGTCTGTGTCCCAACAGCAAAAGTGAAAGTGGCAGCTGCGGCAGCCGCAGTGGCAGAGACAAAATCGCGCGCTGGGACTGAGCTGGGACCCCGGAAATCTGCGTCCACAGAAGCTCCCCACTGTTGGGTCTGGCGTGATTCGAGAGTGGACAGGGGCCCCCAAGGTTGCTCCTAGTGGGGTTCTCTAGGGAGCAATCAATTCTGATCGGACTCAGTGGGAGAACATAGGAGCTGGAAATCAGTCTGTTTATAAGTGTGCGCAGACTTGCCCATCGCGCACCTAGGCTGGTTCCCCTGCAACACTTTGTTTCTGATTACAAAGGAGAGATCACCCAGATTGGCTGATCCTAAGAGACAGCAGGGGGAAACTGCTTTTCTGGAAACTGAGAAGCAGGGCAGGGAGAAATCATCCAGGATTCAGCTCTGAGGCAAAAAAAAATAAACAAAAAAAAAAAAAAAAAAAAAAAAAAAACAATATTGAGTGCCACAGAAAAAGAAGGCTAGAGCAGCCAAAAAGATGGGACATCAATCCACATACACTGCCACCTAGGGTCTGGAGTACAAACTGACTGTGTTTATTATTAGTTTTATTTGATCAAAAACCAAGAAACTAAGGAATCGTCACTGAGGTGCAGCAGAACACAGGGAACTGCAACACTGTCTGGACTGAGAAACGGGCGTGTCAAATAGAATAACAGAAGTGAATGGCCCTCACAATTGCACACTTTTTTTTTGCTAAATTTATTTTTTATTTTTTTTTACTTTATTTTTTTCATTTTTTGCATCTTTTACTTAAGAAACAATTTTTTTCCTTTTTTCCTCACTAGATTTTAACTTTTTAATTATTACATTTTTAGGTTCAATAAGTATTTTTAAAAAATATATTTTATTGATTTTGTACAGAAAGGAAGGGAGAGAGATAGAGAGTCAGAAACATCAATGAGAAAGAGTCATCAATCAGCTGCCTCCTGCACACCCCCCACTGGGGATATGCCCACAACCAAGGTACATGCCCTTGACCGGAATCGAACCCGAAACCCTTCAGTCCCCAAGCCGACGCTCTATCCATTGAGCCAAACCGGTTTCGGCTCAATAAGCATTTTTACTACTGCTACTTTAATTTTTTTTTTTAAGTGCCATTTTATTTTCTCTTTCTTTTACTTTGGAATTAGTGTTGTTCATTTTATTTTCATTTCTCCTTTAACATTGTTTAACCCTATCTCAACACGACCTTTACACCATCACTCTCTTTCTAACCTTCCCCATTTTTGCTATCCTGTTTATCTTAACCCTTTCCTGCTTTAAATTTCCTTACTCTTTCTGTATCTCCCATGATAAAATTTCTACCCTACTTATATATCTAATTTCCAATCCCCTGTGCCAAGTGCATACACACCCCTCTCAGAGCTGTATTAACTAGGAAAAAAAAAAATTGTTTTCCTCACTGTTCTTTTGATGCTGTTTGGTGGAATGATGATTATATTGTATTTTTATGCTTTTTAGTGAGAGTATTTTGCTTATTCTTTTGTTGTTGCTGTTGCTTGGTATTTTCTTATTTGATTGGTTTTTGTTCGTTGTTATTTTATTACTTCTGTTTTCCCTTCCTGTGCTGGAAATTAGGGGGTGTTGTAGATTGTATTATTCTCCAGGTACTGCTGACAGCACTTGCTGGGGTTAGTGGTTGTTCAATTGAAACTCTCTCCCCATATATATAGTTTATTCCCCTTTTATCTCTTTCTCTCTCTCTTTTTTTTCTTCTCCCTGTTTCCCAATTTCATTTTGACACTCTTTTCCTATCTTTTTCTTTTGCTCCCTCCGTCTTCTCTTTTTACTCTTCCTCTTTCTCTCTTATTCCCTAATTTGCCTTTTCCTGGTGGTTACCTTTATTGGAGGTTATTAATATTGCAAATACATTTCTGTTCAGTGCCTTGTGTGTTGTACCTGGTTGTTTTGTATTTTGTGCCTTTAAATCAACGCAGGAGATACATATAGATCAATGGAATAGAATTGAGAACCCAGATATCAACCCAAATCACTATGCTCAGTTAATATTTGACAAAGGAGGCACGAATATACAATGGAGTCAAGACAGTCTCTTCAATAAATGGTGTTGGGAAAATTGAACAGTTACATGCAAAAGAATGAAACTGGATCACCAACTTACACCATACACAAAAATAAACTAAAAATGGATACAGGACTAAAACATAAGATGGGAAACCATAAAAATACTAGAGGCATCCACGGCAGCAAAATCTCTGACATATGCCAAAAGAATTTCTTCACTGATACTGCCCCTAGGGCAATGGAAGCTAAAGAGAAAATAAACAAATGGGACTACATCAAAATAAAAAGCTTTTGTACAGCAAAGGAAACCATCAACAAAACAATAAGAAAGCCCTCTAAATGGGAGAACATATTTGCAAATGTTATCACTGATAAAGGTTTAATCTCCAACATCTACAGACAACTTATGCAACTTAATAAAAGGAAGATAAATGACCCAATTAAAAAATGGGCAATGGATCTAAATAGAATCTTCTTGAAGACAGAAGGAAGGCTAAGAGGCACATGAAAACATGCTCAAAGTCACTAATTATCCGAGAAATGCAAATCAAAACAACAACGCGGTACCACCTCACACCTGTCAGAATACCCAACATCAACAAATCAACAAACAACAAGTGTTGGCGAGGTTGTGAAGAAAAAGGAACCCTCTTGCACTGCTGGTGGGAATGTAGACTGGTGCAACCACTGTGGAGAACAGTATGGAGTTTCCTCAAAGAACTGAAAATGGAACTCCCCTTTGACCCAGTAATCCCACTCCTAGGAATATATCACAAGAAGCTAGAAACACCAATCAGAAAGGATATATGCACCCCTATGTTCATAGCAGCACAATTTACAATAGCTAGGATTTGGAAACAGCCTAGGTGCCTATCAGCAGATAATTGGATCCAAAAACTATGGTACATTTACACAATGGAATATTATGCTGCCATAAAAAAGAAAAAAATCTCATCATTTGCAGCAACCTGGATAGAATTGGAGAACAGCATGCTGAGTGAAACAAGCCAATCAATGAAAGAGAGACACCACATGACCTCACTTATTTCTGGATGATAAAGAACATTATAAACTGAAGAACCCAGATAGATTTAGAGACAGTAAAGCAACAAGCAGACTGTCAAATTACAGTGGGGAGGTTGGGGAGATCTGGGGGAGATAAGAGATCAACAGAAGGACTTGTATACATGCATATAAGTACAACCAATGGACACAAAACTCTGGGATGGGAGGGTATGTAAGGGAGGGGGGGCCAATGATATATATACAAAAATAATAATTTAATAAAAAATATATTTTTAAAAATACATATATATATATATATATATATATAAAAGTAAAAATGTGTGCCTTGATTAATCAAACAGATGCATTTTTGTGCAATGCCTTCAGAGTATACTTACCGCCATTCTTTGCTTCTCTCCACCACTGAGCACATCCATCCAATCCTGAACACTGTCCCAGCCTCCTTCACGTTCAAGGATATGACCCAACTGGACATTATCTAAGTATTCCTTCAGTACCTTTCAGAAAAATGATTAAAGATGAAATCAAGCATAATAATATACCAACATTCTCTTACTTTATTTTTTAAACTAAAATTGCTATAATCCTATCTATTCTAATCTTGACAAAATATATCTAGCAGCTTAAGGAGGATACTATTATACATAATTAAAGGACAAGGACAATGAGAAAATAAACAATAATGTAAACAAGGTTAAACACTCAAGAGTCAGATTTACACAAAGTGGTTAACATCTTACCTCAACTTGTAAAGTATAATTTACTGACAAAGCTTTAAAAGCTCTACAGTCTGGTATAAAACTGCCTGGCATTACAAGTACATAAATGGTTAAGAAAAAGAGCCTTCAACAGAGTATTTTCAGTAGTTCTGGGATATAAACCATTACGTACTAGGTCAGATATCCCCTTCCTTTTCTGATCTTCTTTGCCATCTGGATATATCACTTGATCTCGAAGGGTTCCCAGGGTCATATAAGGTCTCTGATAACCAAATTCAATTACAAAATTCATTAGAAGTGAATTTTTAAGCAATAAATAAAAGTACCTTTAAATTAAAGTTTACAAAATAATTCAAGGTCTTACCTGAGGAACATAAAATAACTTTCCTCTCTCAGGCTTAGTTAGACGTCCTCCAAAAAGAGGCCATAACTAGAAAAGGAAGAAGTGGGATGAGCAATAGTAAATTTCACAATAAAAGATCATATGGCAAAATAAAACTGCAAAACTGTGAGGCCAATTTGTACTTACTCCACCAAGAACACGGAAAAGTGAACTCTTCCCACATCCATTTGGACCACAAATTAGAACGTTGGCCCCAGATCGAACCTGAAAGAAAATTATGAATGAATAATTGTAACAGATTTAATTAAATGAAGTAAATGAACTAGAGTGAATCTGTAAACAATGAACATTTCCTTAGAGTCCAAACTTTCTTTGCTAATGATAAGCTTTCTGTTTTATCTACAAATGTACTATCAGATAGAAGCAGTGGAAGGTATGGTTGAAGGGAACCTTCATTTTTACTTACTTTCAAATTTTACTCACTTTTTAATTTAAAAATAATTATTGATATTATCAACTTAATCTTAACCAAATACAAAGAGCTAAAGCTTAAAAATTTGAGAATTCTTGAAAACAATCAATCTGTATGTTTTTTTCTAATTTTTATTTTTCAAAGTTTACATTCAATATTATTTTGTATTAATTTCAGGTGTATAGCATAGTAGATAATCATATACTTTACAGTGTGATTCCCCAATATTTTTAGTACCTACCTGGCACATAATTATTACATTATCATTGACTCTATTTCCTATGCTATCCAATCTTTCTTAAAAAAAAAAAAAAAATGGTGCTATATATGTCCTACATTTGTTATCATTTAACAATATATAATAAATATTCTTCCAGGTCAGTATATTCAGATTCCTTCCATTCTTTTTTCTAATGCTTGTAGTGTATCCTATATTAATGATGTGTTAATAATTTATTTAAATACTTAGGTTGTCTGCATTTTATTTTGCTCTTTTAGACAATAATGCAATGAACCTCCAAGACAGTGAGCAAATTTATGCACTAGTGAAATATGTTTCTATATATCAGAGATTTATAAATAAGTGTTGGATACAAATATATATATGCATTATAACTATTTGCAAGTGCCACCAAACTGGTCTGCAACAACATAAAGTTAAAAAAGAATATGTAAAAAATTGGTTAAGTTCTAAGCTTATCTTGTGTTAATCAACCCTGTGAAGATTCAGAAAACTTGGGTTATAATCTAGCATATAACGTTACACAGCAATGTACACCAGAGGGAGACAATGAAGGTGAAGAGAAAGGTGTTACCCGAGCTATGGCACCTACCTTAGACTAATTATTGAGCTTTGGGTTCCTATTATTTAATTCAATAAATATTTACTAAATTCTCAGTGTTGAGATCTGTTCTAGGCAATGGATCTACATTTAAAAAAAAGAGAGAGAGAACAAAACCATCCTCCCAAAACAAACAAAAAGCCCAAACCCTCCCCTTACCAGCCTACATTCTAGTGGGAGAGACATACAATAAGTGTGCATAATAAGCTAATTAAATAATGTTAGAAAATAAGTGCTATGGAGCTCAGAGAGATGAGCGGTGGGAACAGGATAGTGGCAGGCAAATCCTACAGGGAATTATAAGCCATTGAACGGATTTTTGAAGGCTTTTGCCCCGATGAAATGGAGAACCGTTTGTATTATTCATAATTAGAGGTCCAGTGTACAAAATTTGTTCACTGGGGGAGTGAGGGGGGTGGGGTTCCCTCACTGGCCTGCACTTTCTTGCAGTTCAGGAGCCAGCAGGTGATCATCCCCCTCACAGTCCTGGACCCCCTCGCTCCTTACCGCCCACCTGCTCGCTGCTCCTTAGCGCTGCCATGGAGGTGGGAGAGGCTCCCGCCGCCGCCACATGAGCCCGGCTCCGGCTGAGCGGGATCCCCCCTGTGAGAACGCACTGACTACCGGGGGCGGCTCACAAGCTGCACATCTGCTCTCCCCCTCCCCCCCTGGTCAATGTGCATCATAGCGACGGGTCATTCTGATCGTTCCACCATAATGGTCACTTAGGCTTTTATTATAGAAAAAAAAAAAAAAAAGTGACCCGAGAGAAGGAACAAATGCAGCATATATATACAATAAAATATTATTTAGCCTTAAAAAGGAGTGAAATTCTGAAACATGCTACAACTTGGATAAACTTGAAGACATTAAGAAAGGAAATAAACCAGTAACAAAAGGATCAATATTGTATTATCCTGCTTAGATTAAGTACCTAGAGTAGTCTGAATCATTGAGACAGAAAGTAGAACAAAGGTTACCAGGAAATGGGAGGAGGAGGAAAATGAGAAGCTAATGTTTAATCGTACACAGTTTCTGTCTGTTATGATGAAAAAGTTCTACAGATAGTGGTGAGGATTGCATAACACTAAATGTACTGAACGCCACTGAACTGTACCCTAAAAAAATGGTAAAAGCAGTTGAATTTTATGTTATGTATATTTTATCACAACAAAAACAGAGAAAGAATGAGCTTCTAAAAAAAAAAAAAAAAAAAAAAAAGGCTGAGAATTACTGATATACCACGTAGCTGACCACATCTTATGTAATCAATGTTAAAGAATAAATTATTCTGAATGACTTTTCCAGAGGAATGAACTGAGAAATTATTTTTAAGTAGCATTTTGATGAACTTCTTTAAGTGCAACTTATTTCCTTTTCCTATAAAACGGGATATAATGACTATTCCTGACAGAACAAGGTTATTATATATAGTAATTTTACTCTTCTGGGAAAATGATGCCCTCACGAGCTCCTGTAGTTCAGAGAGCTGTTCCTTACTACTATGCTTTGAGTAAGGTCATATCTTTTTTCTACTCCTCACTGCTCATTATAATCCTCACTGGTATCTAATACTTCTCCATACTATGTGTTTCAATATGCCAGGAAACTATAAGACCAAGTTTGTAATTATATAAATAATAGCTAGACTTATGGACATTCTTCAGTTACTCCTATGCTCAACTGTCTTAGATTCAGCATTAACTTTTCTTTATTTATTGGCTTTTAGTAATGTTGGGATAAAACGTTCCCTTATGACATCAGTCATGATAAGACAGTGGTAATTTTTCTATATTAAAGATTTATAAAAAATGTATTTTTCCCCCCCTGGATTGAAATAAGACTAAAAGATACCCTGGCTGGTGTGTCTAAATAGTCAGCCCACCCATCTAAGAGTCTTAGGCTCAATTCCCAGTCAAGTGCACATACCTGGGTTGCTGGTTCTATCCCCAGCCCCCAACAGGGTGAATGCAGGAGGCAACCAAACAATGTTTCCCTCTCACATCAATGTTTCTCTTCCTCTCTCTAAAAACCAACAGGGGGGAGAAGAATCCTCCAGTGAGAATTAACAACAACAACAGAAAAAGAGTAAAAGCCAACACTAACTTTCACTAAAAACTGAACTTGTAATAATATTTTATTATTGAAGCTACTGGATTGACTTAATGGAGTAACAAATGCTATGAATATTTTAATAAATATTCCCTAAAAAATAAAACTTGTTTATAAATCCTTGTTATTAATTTACCATAATAAATCATGAAAAATATCTACCCACATGCTTAAGCCATGTGTGCATCTGTATTGTTGAATTAATTATTTCTGCATAAAGTCAGAGTGAGGGAAAATGGAAGAAAAGGCCAAGAGGATTCCTGAATGAATCCTTTTGATTCTTGAGGTGTGGCAGTAATGGGGCTACTGAAATCAAACAAAGATGGGGTTTTGATTTGTTTTATACCTGAAATCAAGCCTGATTAAAGTACCTACATCTAAATGAGAAAACACTTCTGTAATACTTGTAGGCATTCAATATTTACCAATTATATTTACATTTTCTCTACTTCTACTTGTGTTTCCTGGCTTTAAAAAAATATAGTATACAATACTCATCGTTATTTAAATAAGTTAAACTACTTAGCATAACATTTTTCATTTAAAAAAGGAAGTAGAGATGTAATTAATAAATTTACATTATTAAGTATAGGAAAATTGAAGACGTGTAAGGTTATAACAATTTAAAAACAAATCCAGTGGTTGAGTTTCAATCTATGAACCAGGCGGTCACAGTTGATTCCCAGTCAGGGCACATGCCTGGCTTGTGGGCTCGATCCCCAGTGTGGGGCAGAAAGAGGCAGCCAATCAATGATTCTTTCTCATTATTAATATTTCTATCTCTCTCACCCTTCCTCACTGTAATCAATAAAATTATCTTTAAAAATAAAAAATAAAACAAATACAATAATTACATATCTTATTTGTAAATTATCAGAAAGCAGTTGAAAAGAATCCCTAGATATAACACAAATTACAGAAGGCCACATACAAAGGCATATAGAGCTATGCTGAGCTATGCTGTCTCCTAGTTATGTGGCTACTTAAGATCAAATTTATTAAAATTAAATATAATTTAAAATTTAGTTCCTCAGTTGCACTAGCCAAGGACTTTATTTGCAAAATATTTTTATAGTAATATCTGAAATTCAAAGTCCTATCAATTAAGAAAAACAGATTTCTGAGTATTTCAAGCACTTACTTGTTAAAGCTATTTTGTGGATTCAGAGATTTAAGTCAAGCTTTAAAATTATTTTAAATATTCAACCCTTATGCATTTCACATTTTAAAGATAAGTTTTTATACAACTTTAAAACTTACTTCAAAATTAAGATCTCGAATCAAGATATCTCCATTTGGCGTTGCTAAAGGAACATGATCAAATCTACAGAAGAAATTAATAAAGAAAGGATAGTTTTACATTAAACACTAAGCAAGTGTAGCTGAAAGAAAAAGATATTATGTAGTTTAACAAATATTTATGGTCTAAAAAGACTTTTTCTGTATGTACTTTATAATGTTATCAGCATTGATGATTTCTCCAGCTCCAGGTATCAAGGGAATGCTTTGTGCTCCTTCAATACCTTAAATAGAAAATAAGTGTTAAAGTATCACAATCACTTTATGTATTAAAGCAAAAACTTAAATTTTAAGACCTAGAACATTCATATTTACCCCTTTCTTGTTGAGAGATCATTGTGCGTTCATATTTTCCACTTTTTAAATCCTTTAATACTTGCATTAATTCAGAAATCCGAGCAGTAAAACTGAAATTAAAAAAAAAACAAACTATAGTCAAATCTCCAGAGGCTATCATATCTTTTATATTATTTATTTTTTTTAGATAAAATAGACATATAACATTGTATAAGTTAATATCTTGTTTTATTTTTTAATTTTCATCAAAGGATTCATTTTTAATTATTTACTAGAGGCCCGGTGTGTGAAAATTCATGCACTGCGTGGCTGGGGGTGTCCCTTAGCCCGGTCTGTCCTTTCTCATAGTCTGGGAGCCCTCAGGGGATATCCTACTAATGGCTTAGGCCTGCTCCCCATGGGCCTAAGCCACAGTCTGGCCTCCTTCTGAGGGAGGCGACCAGGCCGATCATGGGAAGACACCGCATCCATCACCCTGCTCCTGCTGCCACTGCCAGCCCTCGCAGAATGGTGGCTGCCTGCCCTCCTCGGCCCTCGCAGTCACTGGGGCTTTGTCCAAAAGGACATCTGGTCTATCTAGTCTAATTAGCATATTACTCTTTGATTAGTATAGATTGTTTTAGAGAAAGAGGAGAGAAGAAAGGGAGAGAGGGAGGAAGAGAGGGAGGGAAACATCGATTGGTTGCCTCCCATGCATGCCCACACCCAGGATCAAACCAACAACATAGGCAAGTGCCCTGTCTGGGAATAGAACCTGCAACCTTTTGATGTATGGGACAATGCTCTAACCAACTGAGTCACCCATCCTGAACCACATCTTTTATTTTATACAAACTTAACTGAAGTTTAAAATTATAATCTATTTTAAATAAAATAACAAAAAGAAGTCTCATTAACATAAAATATTAGTGATAATATGCATGTTTTACTGTTACATTTCAGCAAGTAAGTAGAAACATGGGATAAAGGGAGAAGTTTCATAGGATTCCTGCCTCAACAGATACTTCTTTAGTAGGTAAGTCAAGAAAATTGCTGCTAGAAGTTTAAGGAAGTTTCTAGCAGATACTATAGAAGGACTAGCACTAGGACATTCCATAGGCTCTGAGTTCCTGCTACAGTGAACTATAAAGCCTGGTATAAAGATGGCCTTCTATCTGATGGATGTGTTTATTATACACTAGATCCCCAATGCACAAAATTCATGCACTTGGGGGGAGGAGGTTGTCCTTCAGCCAGGACTGCAAGAGGGTGCAGGCCAGGCCGAGAGACCCCACCAGTGCACGATCGGGGCCAGGGAAGGATGTAGGAGGTTGGTCAGCTAAGGAGGGACCACAGGAGGGCTCCAGGGCATGTCAGACCCATCCTGATTGGCCAGACCCCAACAGCAAGATCACCTACCGGTTGAAGTGTCTGCCCCTGGTGGTCAGTGCATGTCATAGCAACTGGACAGTGGGTCAACTATCTATCTCCTGGTAATCAGTGCACGTCACAGTGAGTGGTTGAGAAGCATTAGCATATCACGCTTTAATTAGTTGAGTGGCCAACCAGACACTTAGCATATTAGGCTTTTAGTCTATAGGCTCTCCCAAATGGTTGCTACAACCCTGCAAACAGAAGATTTGGAAGATTCCTCTCTTACTCTAAGAGAGAAAAAGAGCCCAGTTGGTGTGGCTCAGTGGTTGAGCATCAATCCAGAAATCAAGAGGTCACCAGTTCAATTCCTGCACATGCCCACATTGCAGCTCGATCCTCAATTAGGGGGCATGCAGGAAGCAACCAATCAGTGATTCTCTCTTATCCCTGATATTTCTATCTCCCTCTCCCTTCTTCTCTGAAATCAATAAAAAAGATATATATTAAAAAATAATTAAACGTGTTTTAAAAAATAAAGAGGGAAAAAGAAAAAATGTTCTTAATATTAGATAGAAATCACTGTGGCAATAGAGAGGAATAGAAACTAATGACAAAAGGTTGAGGCATATAAGAATGACATGATCGTCAAAGAGAGAATGTCTATATCAGACACAAAACAGGATTTTCCTGTGAAGAACAAGCAGAAATCCCCTAAAGGAACAGAAGCAACAGTATGCCATGAACTGCACTAGAAAGTTAAGTAGGAAGAATGTCAGTGTTCACCAGTGACAGAGGCTCCACACACAGTTTACAACTTCTTCTGTCTTGCCCTGAAGACTTTAAGTGCCATAGGAGGAGGGGGAGAAATAAAGAGGAAATATGCATATGAACCTCAGGCCTGGCAAAGACCTTAAGCCATCTAATTTTTCAAGATGATCTTAAATTTATGGTCCCTTTTTACATTATAGTGTGTGTTTTTTATACCAACCTTTTATATTAAAAGCTTGAAATACTGAAATTTTTAATTCCATTTTATGGTCTAAGAACAATTTTCTTAGATAATATGACCATATTTACAACTGTACCTACAGATACCACAGATAATTTTCATTTTATCCCATTAATATCAACTTCATTTTTTGCTAGGTTGCCAGTATCAAAGATTTAAGGGGGGAAAACTGTATTATGGGAAACAGAAAGTTCAACTGAGAAGATTCTATTCATTAACTTAATTTTCTGTGAATAAGACTGCCATGATTGAACATTTCTCAGATTACTGAAAACCAGTGTCCATGAAGCATTTTTAGAAATCCTAATCTAGTTTAAGGCTCAAAACAACTATCTAAAAGAAAACATAAAGACTTCACTATTAGAGATAAATCTTACTTCTTTATCAAAATCTGGAGTAGCAGCTTCAGTTATCACTGATCTTAACCTCAACAGAGCATAATCACTAAGGATAACATATTTTTAAAATTTTTCTGCAACTGTTCAATACTAATCTTACTTACCCAGCCAATCTAGTCATTTCACGGCCAGCCAAAACTATTCGACCTAGAGCTTGAGACATGCGCAAAAGCATCCTTCCACTTTGGTAGTAATCCTTAAAAAGAAATAAGTATTAGTTCTCACATTTCTAAGACTAAAAACTAGGTTTTCTTTTCTTTTTTAAAAAAACTTTACCCAAGGATATTTTTTCCATTAATTTTGAGAGAGTGGGAGGGCAGGGAGAGGCAGGTAGAGAGAAACATCGATGCGAGAGACACATTGATTGGCTGCCTGCTGCTCATGCCCCGACAGGGATCAGGGATCGAGCCTACAACCAAGGTAAAACCTGGGACCCTTCTGTCCAAAAACTGATGCTCTATCCACTGAACAAAACCGACTAGGGCAAAAACTAGTTTTCCTTATTTTTAAATTTAAATTTTCAATGTACCATTATTATTACTACTACTTTACCTCCAGAAGTTCTGAATGTGTACTCCTGAGATGTCGAGGATGAGACAAATCTAGGAAAGGGCGGCTGACAACTAGGTAACCAACTACAGTGGCAAGATCTGAAACAAAGCAAGTAAGATTTAGAATACTCCACTTTTTCCACAAATCTCATTACATATCTCTTTTATAGCATACGTACATTTGGCAATTATGCTATCGATGAAGCCCATAGAAAACCGAAACAAAATAAAATTATGCAGATGTTCCACCTGGCAGAAAGCAAAAGCAAAAATATAATTATTTTCTATGTTTAAAAACATACAAATTTACCATAAGGATAAAAGAAACTGTGTAATATATTTATTCAGAGATTTACTGAGTGCAAATGATTTCTGATTTTATTATGTATCACATTTCATCAAGCACAATGATGATCTCAGAGCAGGTGCCAAACAAACACTTCCTGAAACCATTTTTATATAAACAGAATGAAAATTACATAAAGAATGTTAATGGGGGGTCCTGAACATGTAATAGTAAAATGATATTTATTCACAATACTATGAGATACATATATGCTTTCCTTTGTTTTGATTATTGGTTGTTAAGGATGAGAGCATTTAAGCTGAACATTAGTAATCCAGATTGGCACTCAATGCTTTACTTTAGTTGGAGAAATCTGGTTTGAGATGAATATCTACTCAATCTAAATTAAGGCCACAAAGTCCCAGTGTGTAGCTTTAATCTGAGCATGTATTATCTAAAATTACAATTCTAAAAATATTTTTTATTCTGCATCTTTAGTGTTCTCACATTTTTCATCTATTGGATTATTCAAGATCCTGCATGATCTGACACTGGGCTCTATCTTAAATCTCATCTGCTTCTACCTTGCTCCTTTGACTGAGTTCCAGAAATGCAGCTTTCGAAAACATGCTCCTGCCTAAGGCTTACCTCTTGCCATGCTCGCTGCCTTGAATAAGTCTTCTTAGATATTGTTAACACCCCCCCACTTCAAATGGATTTCTGACAAAATGCCACCTCCTCAAAAAAGATCCTGCCTTCCTGCTAAAATACCTAATAAACAGCCTCCATCATACTCTACCACTTTATCTTATTATATATTTGGTCAAAGAGTTCATTTCCATCTGAAATCATAGAAACTATCCAGTTGTTTACATGTTTATTGACTCCTCCACTAAAATGTGGCTTTCCTAAGTACTGGCTAGCTTGTTCTTACTACCTTCTGCAAAAGAACAATGGCTGGAACATTTAGTCAATGAATCTTGTGTGCTATAATACATCCTGTGCTCAATATGGAAGATACAACAATGAATAGAACAGATAAAAGTTCCTGAGCCCATGGGGTTTACAATCTAATGAAACAGACAAACTAATAAACAAACAAACCAGGTAATTATAAATTGCAATATATGCATTTAAGGACACAGATCATTAAAATGGAAAATAACTGGTGGAGGCTATTTCAGACAGACTAATCAGAGAAGGCAAGGCATCAATAAGATGTAAACTTTTGGGATGAAATGTAAAGGGTAAGTATAAACAAACCAAGTGAAGGATGGGCTGGTGAACAATGGTGTCCTGGAAAATTACTTTAAATGCAATTTAGTGAGTGCTATCAAAGTTGTCATGTAAAATATACTTGAAGAAAAATTCAATTTGTGAAGTAATTTTAAATGGCAATTATTTTAATCTTCTTAAGTCACTTCAAATATGTATTAAATTTCACCAGCTTCCACTAAAATGTAAGCTCCATAAAGGCAGGATTTTGCCATCACATTCATCACTGTTAACACACTAGCACCTAGAACAGGCTCAGGCAACTAGATCGCATTCAATATCTTTTGAATGAATAATAAATAAAATTATTTGCATTCAAATTTTCCAAGTGGCAAGTAAATAAAAACTGAAATATAGTTTCTACAAGAAACAATGTTTATATTCTAAATTAAAGGCCAAGAAACTATGGCTCACAGTACAAATCCAGCCTTTATTAGAACACAGCCACACTCATTCACGTATATAAAGTACTAGTGGCCCGGTGCACAAAGTTCATGCACTTGGCTAGGGCGGGGGAGGGGTTTCTCAGCCCAGCCTGCACTCTCTCTCTCTGTCTGGGAGCCCTCGAGGAATGTCCAACTGATGGATGTCAGACTGATGGATGTCCAACTGATGTCAGCCGGCAGACAGACATCCTAGGGGTCCTTACTACTGCTGTGGAGCCTGGCTTTTGGCTAAGCAGTGCTCCCTCTGGGGGAACACACTGACTACCAAGGGGCAGCTCCTGGGTTGAGTGTCTGCCCCCTGGTGGTCAGTGAGCATCATAGTGATCAATCATTATGCTGTTTGGTCAATTTGCATGTTAGCCATTTATTATATAGGATACTAGAGGCCCAATACACGAAATTTGTGTAAGAGTAGGCCTTCCTTTCCCCAGCTGCTGGCACCAGCTTCCCTCTGGCACCCAGGACCCAGGCTTCCCTTGCAGCCCCGCCTTTGTCCATAAGCTGATATGGCCTAATTAGCATATTACACCCTTATTATCATAGATTATAGATGGCTACATTTGAGTGGCAGATTTGAATACCTTTAATAGAGACCATAAGACCTGAAAAGTCTAAACTATGTTTGCATTATCTTGTTCTTTACAGAAAAAGAACAAGATAATGGCACCTGCTCTAAATCTTCACAGTATTTTTATGAATGCTATTGAAACATATTTTCTGTAGAAATCACTAAATTTATCACTAAATAATACTCCTTATGCAACCTCTATAAAAATATGCTCACAATTACTTTAATAAATCTACCATTTTATAATTAGACAACTTAATATATTGATATGATAGTTTTTATTCTCATATTGTTTAATGAAAACAATATATTTGTATTTTCACATAAGCAAAAAACAAACAAAAAAAACCTTTCCCAAATACATGAACCTTAAGCATGTTTTCTTACCAGTTTTTGGAAGACTGCGTGGATTGTCTGCTTTTCTCTTTTATTCCCATCATAAAAGGCAATTTCTTCACTATTAAAAAAAATAATTTAGCAATTAATTTTTATGTTAACCAAGCCTGAAAAATTGCAAAACAGTATTTTATGACTGAATATTTTTATTTAAATGGCATTTTGTGACTAAGAGCTTACCAAGTACATCTCAAGCAGTAGTCTGCACTTAAGATCCAGCTCTAGTCTCAGTTGATCAGAGCATAGGAATACATACCTGACTAGATCATAGACTAGACTGCAGTCATGTGTTATATGTGCCATATGTAACTGGCTGGGAAAAGTGTGCTGAGCTAACCCTCAGAAATCAGAATGAAGAAATAAGAAATGAGAAGGAAGCTGCCATGATATACAGAAGGCAGGGCAGGGACAGCCATCATACACTACAAATTGAGTGCAGACCAAGATAGGAAGGAAAGGGGAAAACAACAGCTAGAGAAAGACAGATAGTGATGCCATGACATACAGCCTTTGAAAGACAGAAAAGCAAACTCAGACTTCACAGCCTCACAGTGCCAGCTCCTAGAGGGCCTCACTGCATAATTGTTCTTATTCTTGGAATTCCACCATATACTCACAACTAGGTTCTCTTGAGCTGTTAAATGGGCCCACAGGATCTTGACTAGAAATAAAAGGGTGAGTTTACACATGAAGAAAGGTTCAGTGTAATTAAGTAAATTTGCTAAAGTCATATAGCTAGCAAGTCAAGCAGCTGAGATTAAAAATTACCATATCTGACCCTCGTGTTTTAGTCTTTCCATTTTATTCTGTGTGATATAAACTTCCCCAGCAAAGCACCTCTTACAGCAAAGGAAAGTAAAAATTTATGTAGGAATCATGAAGGCACAGTTAAAACAGCCTTCAATTAATACCTAATATTAATAATTATTTCATGTTTCTTTTCTCCAGAATTTCATATTCTATTCCAAAATATGCCTGTATTTCTCCATCATAAGAATAAGGCAACTTCTACTTCAACTCCTTTAAGTAAAATTAACTTTATAAAGACTCATGATATTTGACTTGTTTCATGGTTCCCTTGATACAATGATAGAGCCCCAAAGCATTAGAAACATAAATATAATTCTGCACTTGTAATTAGTTTTTCTTACTTCCTTCGATCTCCTCTTTACATTTAAGCTGATGGAAGAAGATGGGGTAAGAATTCTTTTTCCCCTGAACTGAGTCAGCTTAGACCCCCTCTAAAACCTGAAAGGACAAGACATCGTAGAGTACTGATGGCTGTCTTTTCAACATCTATTCTCATCCTCATCCTTTTTCCTAAGAGAACCCTAATTTTCTTAAAGTTACCTAACCTTTTCAGGTTATCCAAAAGGTTTGGTAATGGCTTCAACACCATCTACAGGGGATGAGTTTATATGTTCTAAGCCAATCACTTGCTGTAAGTGCTTGAAGCATGACTGAGCAAATCACAATTCTGGCCAATGAGATGTGAAAGAAGGTCTACAGTAGGGCTTCTGGGGAAACTGCCTTGCTCTCATACAGCAGAAAAGATGGCTCCTCAAAAATTGTTTCTAGACTCTTGGCAAGGGAAGAAGCTTAATGAGATTTGGAACTACTTTTGAAATCTTGTTACCACAGGGAGAATCAGGTTGAAGAAAGGGACAACATAAAAGGAGGCAGAGCAAAGAGAACATCAAAGAAGTCAGGAATTGCTCTACCTTACGAGTTTTTATGTGAAGTAGTAAATGTTCTTAGGTTGGAGCCCTCTGAGTCAGGGTTTTCTGGTTCTTACAATAGGAAGAATCCTGGCTGATACTATCTTTCAGTCACTTGGCAAATCACCTCTCTATGCAACCATCTATTCTCTGCCTCCCTGGAGCATAAAACCTTATTTAAAACCATTACCATTTTTGCAATATAAGAAAGTAAAAGAAGAGGGAACTATTAAAAGAGTAATTTTGTAAATGCCTATTGAGTAATAATAAATGTTAGTACCCTAAAAATAACACACAGTTGACAGGTCAATATATGAGAAATTTTACTGCTGCTATTTATCAAAAACTGTCCTATAAACAGACTGAGGAATTTCAGAGAGAAGGTGGGAAGAGATTAACCAAATAACTTATATACATATATTTATTACCCATGGACACAGATAATAGAGTGGTATAGAGTGGTGGGAGAGGATTGGGATCTGGGTAAACGAGGAAATGGGGGTAGAGGGGGAAAAACAGGAGGAGGGGTAGATAGCTATAATCCTCTCAATAATAAATATTGAAAAAAAATAAAAGAAAATTTTTAAAAACTATCTTTTAGCCCTGGCTGATTTGGCTCAGTGGATAGAGCATCGGCCTGTGAACTAAAGAGTCTCAGGTTTGGTTCTGGTCAAGGGCAAATGCCCAAGTTGTGGGTTCGATCCTAGTGGGAGCATGCAGGATGCAGCCTATCAGAGATTCTCTTTCATCAATGATGTTTCTATCTCTCCCTCTCCCTTACTCGCTGAAATCAATAAAAATGTATTTTGTGGGGAGGGAAAATTGTCCAGTAAGCTATATACATTTCATATTTCATCCTCAAAACAGGTCTATGTTATCTACCTATTATAAACAAAAAAGTGAAGCTATATACAACTTAACAAAAGTCATTGAATATATATAATGGATGAGTAGAAGAGGTAGATTTTGAAACTAATCACAGCTCAATACTTTTTCTCCCTATTTTGGATTTTTGTGGAAAATAGGTAGAGGCACATACAGTAAGACTGAATTACTGAGTATTACAAAAATAGTCTTAAAAACATTTTGGGATAAATTGAGACAAAACTTTCTTTGAAGTATTATACATAAATTTGAATTGTATTTTGACTGTTTAAAGTAAAATTAACAGAAAATTAGTCAATAACATAAAGGTGAATCAGAGATAATAGTTAACTAGAAAAAATATTATAAAACTGATAGCCTTCAAAATGTATATTTTCAGAAGAGGTAAATACACACACACACACACACACACACACACACACACACACACCTAATTTCAGTAACAGTGTTACTGAATTCTGAAGTCAACTTACATGATATCAATATATATAAAAATAAATTTTTAGTACAGTTAAATAGATTTAATACATTTCTCCTTACCTGTTTGTTATGAGCCGGGAATTAACATATCTATACTCTCCTTCATATTTTTGCTCAGTTATTGTCATCTTCCCAATGGGTCTTCTAAGTCGAGTTAGGAATAGCCCAGAAACAAGCAAATAGGCCATCATGCTCGCTGGGCCCTATTATTAAATTGCAAGAAAAAGATACAAAGTTCAAGGATATCCAATAAATTTATTGAACATAACATATACAATTTCTATAATTAAGTTGAACTTCTGATTTTCTCCCTTCTTTTCTGAAAACAAAACAAAAAAACACACAAACACACTGGACCTCTAAGTTTTTACTACTCATCTACTGTTCCTCCTACCTCTGGCAGCTCATCCCCAGCTCTCCCAAATATGTTCACCTAAGAACTCCTAATTGCAGTCAGTCATCATCACTCTTTATGGCATCTAAAACTCTTCCAATGGAACTCTTCTTGATATTTACTCAAGATTTCACAATAATTCTTTTTACCTTCTCTTTGAATGTTAATTTTCTCTGAGGTTTCTTTCTTAGCTTTCTTCTCCCAAATTTATATCTCTAGTCCCATCACTCCTAAAAATCCAAGACACTATTTCCAAGTACTATTCATCTTCACCTCACTGCTCTGTAAAGCCTCAAGCTTAGCTCCTCCAAACAAGCTCCATCTGCCTTCCCATTCTCATAGATCTTGCTTCCAGCTCTACATTTTCTAACTTGATAAGGGATCTCATCGCCCACTGGCCATTTCAAGATAGAGTCTTCAAGCTGACCTTTCCAAGCTCATCACAACACTTCCCTTATTCCCATATACATGCTATGTTCTGCCATACTAAAGTAATTGTTTCCTGAACATGCCATTCCATGAAGTTTTTATGTTTGGCATGTCTGACATTTAGGGATGTCTACTCATCCTTCTCAAAACAGCTCAAATATTACTTCCGATTCTTCCAAGAGTAAATACTTTATTCAAACTTCTATTATTGGACTTATCACTCTGCATTATAATTGCTTGAATACCTCTTTTGTCAGATCCTAATTTCTCCTCAGTAGTTCTTCTCTTACTCATCTTTTGATTCCTACTACCCAGAACAATATGTGTAGAATATAGTGTGTATTAAGATTTTTAAAATTAAATACAACTGATTCAATGCATTGAAACAGTATGGGCAAAAATATAACTAAAACAGTTTCTACCTTCAAAAAAATGAAGAATCAGATAAAATTTAAAAAGTACCATAAAAATATTACAGCATAGAAATAAGACGGATTAGATCTATTCACTTCTTATAATGAAAACATGCAATAAGAATAATTAAGTCTGGATCATAAAATAGCAAAAAGTAAGAAAAGTAGACAATAAAACTCAAATAGAAAACTGATTTTACCAGCTTTTTGGAAAGGAACAAAAACCACTGTATAAATTATTTACCAATCAACTACAAAATATCCTATCTAACAAAAGGGTAATATGCAAATTAACTATCACTCCATCACAAATATGACAGCACCCATAACCACAAGATGGTGACACCCAGTCTCAGCCTCGCCAGAGTCCCCCAGTCTTGGGGCTGCTGTCGCTGAGAGCAGGCAGCGTGAGCAGCTTGCTTTGTCACTGAGGTGATGCCCAGCGCGGAGGGCCTCTGGGTTCACAGGGGTGCCAGCCCGCAGCCTCTGCAGCTGAGCGCAGGCCTGGAGAGGAGATGGCAGGCCTGCCTCCCAAGGAAGCAGCATGGCCCTGTGGAAGCAGTGCAGCTCCTGGTGGCACAATGCGGTTCCTGCCGGCTCCTGTGGAAGTGGCAGGCAGCCTACTGTGCATGACATCACGTAGTGAGTTACTAATTTTTATATATATAATAATTAGCTGGGTGTCACGACCACTCAGAGGCTGCATTATGATCACTCAGGAGGAGTTGCACATAAAGATAGGAGGGAGAGGACTGTGTGCCACCCCCAGCCCCAGAGACCATGGGGAGGCTGAGGCTGGGGTGGGCCGGTATGGAGGCACAAGACACAGAAGCGCTGCCCCCACCTTAGCAGACACAATGCAGTGCCCAGTGCTACATGGGTCAGGCGCAGGTCCCAGCCCCCCACAGGGTGCCTCCTCGCACAGGAGTGGAGACACAACACATGGAGAGGCTGGGGGCAAGCCAGAGCAGAGACACAACACACAGGAGCACCTGCCCCCACCCCAGCAGATACAACATGGCGGCTGGGGGCGTGCTCTCAGCGGATGCCACACGGCTCGGAGCATACCACCATTCCAGCCAACACAACATGGTGGCAGACACTACACAGGTCAGGGGTGGATTCCAGCCCTTGAAGGGTGCCTCCTCACGCGATTTCAATCAGTGCTGGGACTCTATTATATCCACATACATACACACACAACACACACACCAACTACATTATTATATGATTACTAGAGGTCCGGTGCACGTAATCATGTACAGGTGGGATCCCTCAACCTGGCCGGTGATCAGGGCCGGCTGCCCGAGGGGAAGGACCCTGGAATGTTGGCCAGCTGCAGGGTGTTGGTTTTGGGAGTGCACTGATCACCTGGGGACAGCTAGTGCACTGAGCGTCTGCCCCTTGGTGATCAATGCACATCATAGCAACCAGATAACTGGTCATTCAGTTGCTTAGGCTTTTATAATATATCCTATATAATATAATAAAATCCTAGTAGGCAAAGTGTCTGGTCATCTGTTCAACTAATCAAAGCATAATACACTAATGATATGCTAAGACTGCTCAACTGCTCACTATGACATGCACTGACTACCAGGGGGCAGATGGTAGATCAGTCGGCTAGTTGCTATGGCATGCACTGACCACCAGGGAGCAGACGCTACAACCAGTAGGGTAGCTTGCTGCTGGGGTGTGGCTGATTGGGACTGAGCAAGATGGGCCTGAAACACCTTGGAGCCCTCCCACAGCCCCTCCCAGACTGGCCAACCTCCCATATCCCTCCCCTGTCCCAATTATGAACAGATGGGGTTCATCGGCTTGGCCTGCACCCTCCCACAATCTGGGACCCCTCAGGGGATGCTGGAGAGCCGGTTTCGGCCCAGTACCACAGGCCAGGCTGAGGGACCCCACCAAAGCACTGGTCCTCTAGTATGCATATAAGATCTTTGGTTAATCTCTTTCCGCCCTCCCCACTTCCCTCTGAGATTCATCAGTCTGTTCCAATTTCCATGCCTGTGTGTTGAGCATCTGCTCACTGGTGGTCAGTGCGCATTATAGCTACTGGCCCGTGGGCTGGTTGCTTAAGCTTTTATATATATAGACTAGTGGTCCGGTGCATTAAATTTGTGCACAGGGGAGACGGGTTGCCTCTCAGCCCACCCTGCACCCCCTCCAATCTGGGACCTCTCAGGGATCAGGCTTAAACCAGCAGTTGGACATCCCCCTTGCAATGTGGGACCACTGGCTCCTAACCACTCACTTGCCTGCCTGCCTGATCGCCCATAACTACTCTGCCTGCCAGCTTATTTGCCCCCAACTGCCCCCCCCACCAGCCTTCTCGCCCCCAACTGCCCCCCTTGCCAGCCTGATCACCCCCAACTGTCCCCACCTGTGGCCTGTGGCCTCTAACTGTCCCCCCTGCCAGCCTACTTGCCCCAACTGCCCCCTTGCTGTCCCTATTGCCCCCAGCTGCCTCCCACTGCTGGCCTGCTTGCCCCCAACTACCCCTCCTGCTGTCCTGATCACCCCCAACTGCCCTCCCCTCCTGGCCTGATCAACCCTAACTGCCTCTGCCTAACATGGCTTTGTCCGGAAGGATGTCCAGAAGGTCTCCCATTCTAATTAGCATATTACCCTTGTATTAGTATAGGTAACAATAACATTACATATTAAATGACTAAAGTTAAACTTTAATAAGAATACTCAGGAAAAAATTAAAGGTCATTCTTGCCAACACAAATATCAGAGACAGAGTAATTAGGCTCATGAAACAACATTTATAATCATAAAATATCCTTGAAACTGGCATACCCATTCTAAAAGTATTCCTGATATTTTAACATTCAGATTTCTTATTTAAAGTATTGTCTCCGAATCTCTTTTTAGACATTACTTTGCAACAATAAGTACATGTATGTTCAATGTTAAACACTGCACTTATGGTTATCAATACCACAAAAGTTTTCCAAGTATCTTATTTAAGAAAAATTTAAAAGCCATATTAAAAATAAATAAATAAAAGTAAACTCACCTGAGCTCCTATTGCACTCGTTAACTTGAAGATATACAAAACTATGTCTAAAAATGGCTGTAAAATAAATATAAGAAGGTATATCATTAAAGTTACCTAAATTGATAGCTAATACAACATTAAATACAAAATGCTATTTAACATATAACATGTAATTGTTAACTTGTAGAGTTTCCACTGTGTATAATGTAATGTAACAATATGTTGATCAATTATTAGGTAAAAGGCAGTTCTTATTGTTAAAAAATAGAAAATGGAAAAGCCTGACCAATGTCTACTGACTGGTGGGAAAAACTTTATCACTTTTCATCAACTAAGATAGCTAGCTCTACTGTGATAACTGACCATTAGTAACTAAGCAATATCTTAAGGTAGTGCAAAGACATAAATAAAATGACCCAAGTTGTAACCACAAATGGGCTACCAGTTTTTCTGGTTTCTATATATGTTCACCTATAAAATGAGAGGCTCTTCCTGCTCTTATTACTGTTTGATTCTATTATTTTGTCAGAACATCTATATGTTGAAATAACATAGTTAGCCTATTTATGAATATAATTTTCTGATATAAAATTAAAATTTCTAGAACTAAAACAATATATTAAGAATCTCATACAGAGACAGCTCAACTGATATGCTAAAAATGTTTTTGGAAGGGGTTTTCGAAAATTCCAAGTTGTGTTAATTCACTTAAGTTTATAGCCACCCCTTTTTAACTATATATACATTACAATGATCAGAGACTTGGTTTATTAATTGGCTTGTACTAATTTCTTTTTGCCTTATAAACTATTATACTTGTAAAATTCAAGTACATTTAAAAGTTGATAAAAATGACTCATTATATAAGTCAGAATTCAAACAATAAAATAATATTAAAAGTAGATATATTGTAATGCATAGCAATTAATTTGGTATTTTATTCTACTGCAGATGTAACAACACCTGAGCTGTAGACTTGCTCAAATGCCAAGATGTAAAGACTAGAAGTCGAAAAACTTTACATATTACCCCACACATACATATAGAACGAACTCTAAAATATGGTAATGGACTGATAAATCTCAGAGGGAAGGGGAAGACAAAAAAAGATAAACCAAAGAGCTTACATGCATATATGCATAACCCACAGTCCCAGACCGTAGTGTGATAGGCCCAGGGGAGTGGGGTGGGATGGGGGTGGTGAGCAGGCAGGGAAAGAGGGGACATCTGTAATACTTCCAACAATAAAGATAAATTTAAACAATAAATAAAAAAATTTGGTAGCCGAAACCGGTTTGGCTCAGTGTATAGAGCATCGGCCTGCGGACTGAAAGGTCCCAGGTTCGATTCCGGTCAAGGGCATGTACCTTGGTTGTGAGCACATCACTAGTAGGGGGTGTGCAAGAGGCAGCTGATCAATGATTCTCTCTCATCGATGTTTCTAACTCTATCCCTCTCTCTTCCTCTCTGTAAAAAATCAATAATATATATATATATTTTTAAATGTAATAATGGGTGAAAAGAAACCTGAATTACTGAATAACATAGTTTTGTCAGAGTTCCTAGAGTTTGGAGTCAGTTAACAAAGGCTTCTAGAAAGCAGCATAAAGACAAGGTTTGGCCTGAAGTGAAAAGTATCTTAGCAGTGGGCCTATCGTGAGGAATGAATCTCTTGTGGATACATATTACTTTTCTAAGAATTGCCTATCCTCCCTCCATCCACCTGGTTGAAGCACAGCATTCCTGTTCTTACACTGTGACCCTTGCATATGCATATCTGGATCAACTGTCGCCACAGGCAAAGGTACTATAAACGGTCCAGTCTGAGACAAGCTCCCACCCCAGACCAAGAGCTGTCATGTTCATCCAAGTGAGAAATGGAGCCTCATCTAAAATGAAGAGGGGAGGAAATGCTGTGTAGAAAGTCTCACAGGTACCCTCTACATGTCCAAGTCCATATAAGAGGTAATGGCCAAGAAGATAGCTTCATGAAAAGACTAGAGCAAAAGCTAAGGGTGGTGAGATAATATGATTAAGATAAAAACTGAGGAATTAGAAGGAAAAACTGGTTAAGGCCTATCATCTGAAAGAACTTTGGCAATACTCTGGGAAGGGGGAGAAACAGTAATTAGAAAACCGAAATAAATTAGTATCTTACGAAAGTTTTTTTACTATTATTTAAATAATCCAATAGAATTGGAGATACTGAAGGAGAGAATTGGGCAGAAGGAAGTGCTAGCCTAATGGTAATGGATGCAGAACTAGAAGCATAAATTGACCATAGATCTCTTAACAGTTGCAGAAATTAGGCCAAAAGATAAAAATGTAAATTTTTGTTGTTTTACTGAAATCAGCCTGAATATTCTTATGTTTACAAGACACTAAATTCTAAGTTCTTAGCTAAAGCACATTATAAAAATAACATAAAAAATTTAAATAATTATGGTTAAAACTATTATAACTCAAATTTTCTTATAAAAGTATTAAATATTTACAGGATGCTCTTATATGAATCAAAACAATCCTACATAAGTTTGCTGAGATTCAAAATTCTATAAATTAATAAGTAATAACAAAAAATTAAGAAACTTACCTTACTAAGATTTGAATACAGATCAACTACACTGTTACAAAACTTTTCTACATCTTGTGTAAGCAGCTGGTCTGGGTTAGCTATTCTGTTGTCCAGATTTCCCATTTTATAATATGTGAAAGCTCTAAAATAGCAATAAGAAAATTACTTTAAAACAAATGATATTTAAAAGCTCACATTATACTACTTAGTTCATATTAATAGAAACAGAAAAGTTTGGAGCTGGACGAGACCCCAGAGACTGTCCTAATTTACTTTAAAGATGAGGAAACAAGCCTAGAGAAGGATGACTTGCCAAGTAATGGAAGAGCCAGAATTATAGATTCTAAACACTGAATCTTTCCCTATATGTTTCTGGGTCTATAAGCAATGTTCTTGAAAACATAGCCAACAAAAAAGAAAATCTACATCCCAACAACATAAGTATTATCGTTCAATTTAAGTATTTTAATATAAAAATAGGTTATTACTTACTGGAGATACTCCTCATAGAGGTATTTAGTTAGCCTTACTCGGAAGCACAGTTTGAGCTCATTTAACCCAAACTTCAAGAAGTTATTAACCAGAGAGATCTAAAACAAACAAACACATATTACTGATTTTGCTTAATTTCTTACTAAATCATAATGTATTTCTCTGTCATTGGCTATGTCCCCAAATCCTGTAATTTTTATAATTAATAGTCCAAATTTATATACTTCAGTTCTGTTTTACTTAAAATTTACAAAGATACAAAAAGAACATGCTAAACCAAAGGCTCTATTATTATCCTGATATGTTAAACTTTACTTGGAACTTAATTTTAGAGTATGTTAATATCATTAATTCTGACAAGTCTCTTGCTACCTTTTATTTTGGTAGGGAAAAAAGCCACTTTCCTATCTAATGTAAAGGACTTGCTTTTAGAAGTACTGACATATAGTGTATACTTTCTTCTTCCTACTATCAGTGTTACAACCCTAGACAATAAAATTCTATACATATTGCATCTGCATTTATTTTAAAAAGTAGTATAGATCGACCAGCAGGTATCAGTGGTTAAGCATCAACCTTTAAACAAGGAGATCATGGCCGAGACCAGTTTGCCTCAATGGATAGAGCGTCGGCTTGGGGACTGAAAGGTCCCGGGTTCGATTCCGGTCAAGGGCATGTACCTCGGTTGCGGGCATATCCCCAGTAGGGGGTGTGCAAGAGGCAGCTGATCAATGACTCTCTCTCATCGATGTTTCTAACTCTCTATCTCTCTCCCTTCCTCTCTGTACAAAATCAATAAAAATATATTTAAACGAGGAGATCATGGTTTGATGCCCAGTCGGGATACATTCCCAAGTTTCAGGCTTGATCCCCAGTGTGGGGCATGTAGGAGGTACCTCTCTCTCTCGCTCTTGCTCTCGCTCTCGCTCGCTCTCACTCGCTCTCTCTCTCTCTCTTTCTTTCTCCCTCTCTCCCTCTTCCTCTCTCTCTCTCTCTCCTTTCCCTTCCTCTCTGAAATCAATTAAAAAATATATATATATTTTTTAAAGTCTTATACCTACAGATTATCTAGAGTCATATTTACTACTTTTTTCCATCATTATATTAAAAGTAGAGGCCCAGTGCATGCAATTCATGCATGGGTAGGATCCCTAGGCCTGGCCGGAGATCAGGGCCAATTGGGGCCTCTGGCTACTGGCTGGGTCCTTCCTTCGTTCCATGGTGGTCAGCACACATCATAGCAAACGATAGAACTCCCAGTCTCTCAGTTGAACTCCTGAGGGGACACTTCGTATATTAGCCAAATATATATATAATTTTTCCACAGTTTGAGCCATATTTACATAAAATTTTTATCCAAAAAAAACTGATTTTCTGTGGAATCTGTTTTTGACTGATAGCAAAGCTACTATCTCAACTTTATTAAATCTGGCATATGATATAATTAATGCGTTTTACAATCAAGTTCCTCCTTTTAATTCCTACATTTAAAATACTAAAATTCTTATAGTGACAATAAAATGGAACAAAAACCAAAGCTAAGAAAATCACTTATAATGTAGGACAAATACTCACCTTTATTTTTAATTAATTCAGATAATAAATTCCAGTTTAACTTAAACTATATCAGTGGCTTAAGTTACTATAATATTGTGGCCTGAAACAATTAATCTAAATCAGGATGACTCTGTGCCCCTGTGGGACATTTTTGATTCTCACAATGGCGGAATGGGGAAAGGGAGATACTACTGCCGTTTAGTGGGATGCTATAAATATTCAAGAAACCTTGGCTTAAAGGTTAAAAAAAATCCACATATGTAGACATTCTTTTAATTTTTCAATCTAGTGTAAAGGTTTATATTGAAATGTTCTACAACAGTTATAAAATTAAATTCAAAATAGGAACTTAGTATCATAAATCTTTAAAGAAGTTAATAAGTAAATATCCTTAAAGATTTTTGGAAGATGCAATTTTTCCCCCTGTATAAATTTAAAGAATTACACTTACGAGAGGCATGGCAGCGATGAAGTTGAATAAGTACCTCTTGAAATCTTTTCTGCTACGACCAATGATACCACTGCAAACCACCACATGCAATGCATTAGTTGCAAAAGAAGCAATATTTTACTCTAAGAAAACTTCTGAAAACAGCTGTAAAATTACTCTTGCAAATTTGTATTGAATAAAAATAAGAAAAAATATGCAAAATATTTTCTTACAAAAACATGTTTCCAACTTTTGAAATGTTATCATTTTATACAGCTTTCTTGAAAATCACTCTATTTAAAAGGCAACATTAAATAAGAGTAACTAGTAAAAATGTTAACTTTTAAAAAAGGCTTAGGTGACACAAAAACGGTTTAGATGGCAAAACTCTACAGACTCAGGAATGGGTTACTATGGATAAAACAAATATTTGTTTTTAAAATGTTTTAACATTCTGATTCTGCCTTGTGTGAACACTTAGACTAATGAGAGATCAGCAAACTCTTACTATAAAACTCTTATTTTAAAGTTTATGGGCCATAGGGTCTCTGTTGCAAACACTCACTTCTGCTATTATAGAACAAAAACTTCCAAAAATGAACTGGCGCTGTCCTAATTAAAATGTTAACAGAACAGACGGCATTGGACTTTGGCCTACAGGTCTACTTAGCTGACCCTGAGACTAAATAACCCAGTAAATCAATAGGGTTCCTCAGTCTCAAGGTCTGTTAACATACTTCTACTAAACCAGCTCCTCTTTTTTAAGTCTGTTTTTGATCAATTTTACATGCTTATTTGTTTGTAAAGTATCCATTAAGAACTTTAATGTAAGGGTTCCACTACTTTTTTAAAAAGTTTGGAAGCCATTAATATCATGGAAGTAGAGACTATTTGAGTAATGTAAATCTATGATCCAGTAAAGAGAGAGAATTTATTTTATCACACACTTTCATCAAATAACATTAATACTTCAAGTATAAATAAAATATATTTAGAAAAACATTGCACCAAATTATGTAAACGTAACTACACACACACACACACACACACACACACACACACACACACACACATACACGATGGGTATATGATAGAGAAATAATTTGCTTTTAATGAAGGATTAGATGAATGCCGCCACGTTATGTTAACTCATCTTTTAGAGGGGGAAAAATAATAACTCCATAGTCAAATAAATTCAGAAAAACCTGGGTTAAACAAAGCTAAAAATCTTTACTGAAGACCTTCTCAAAGCACTTAATGTATTTGTGCATTGTAACTGTCTGAGAGGACTTTGTAGCATGTAGCATTTCCTCTGTCAAAACTAGCATTCCACAGAACATACTTTGGGAAATGTTACTTTAGACTGGTATAAAAATCAATAGTCCTATTTTGACACAACTACTAAAAAGTTAAAAAACTTAAGTTGAGCTAAAAAAAAGTTAAAATAGAACCACACAAAAGTGTTGTTTATAGCAATAAGAATATTAGAGACATGAAGCAATTAAGACAGAACAAAAAGTTTAGAGATTTTAAATTGTTTGAAACTAACTTTACATAAAACCAAGTGCTTTAGTGCTGCCCAAGCTGCGAAACACACAAAATTATAAAACTTGGTAAAACACATGCCATCATTCAGCGATTGTTTACCACTGGAATAGCAGCTATAAATTTAAAAAATGGTTCCTTGAACAAAGCTTTATTTCTGCTTATTATTCCACTGCAAAAAAAATATAATAATAATGAATAATAATTTTATAGTAGCCCCAGTCATTATTACTTTCCATAAATACAAGAATCTTACACATAAAAAGATAAAGTTGCTATTGTAGCCAAATGGGTGACAGGAAAACACGTCGATGATTATATATAACAACAAGATAAAGGATTCACCTCCATATCATGTAATTACCACAGTTTCTTAAAGAAAAAGTGCCGTCCTATTTAAAATGTGCCCACACTCCAAAGTAATTAGCCACTGCTAACAAACCTTTAAGATATAAAGAATATTAAAATGAAGTACACTAAGGACCAAACAGAAACAGATGAATCTAAACCTAATTTGGAAGACAAAAGGGAAACCATAGATAAATCCATTTACAATATAGCTGTAGTAGCAAGTTAGAGAAATGTATAAATTTCTCAAATAATGTTCCATATTATGAACTCACAATATTTCTAAACTTGTAATTTCACCAAATATAAAATAGTTCATATTTCTGTTATAGCAGAAGCTCAAAAATATTTATTAAGGAGAAAATTAACTTTAAAATGATCATTTCACAATTGGTAAATTTGGATTAAAAGTACTTTATAAGGTAGTTCCTTATACTATTCTTTTTTAAAAAATATATATATTTTATTGATTTTTTACAGAGAGGAAAAGAGAGGGATAGAGAGTTAGAAATATCAATGAGAGAGAAACATCGATCGGCTGCCTTCTGCACACCCCTTACTGGGGATGTGCCTGCAACCAAGGTACATGCCCTTGACCGGAATCGAACCCAGGACCTTTCAGTCTACAAGCCAACGCTCTATCCACTGAGCCAAACGAGTTTCGGCTCCTTATACTATTCTTGCAACATTTTTTTAAGTTTACATTGTATCAAAATAAGTTTTTTAGAAACTCCTAAATTTTTTTTTTTTTTAAATCTACATCTCATAACTAAAAATTGCAACAAGATGATTACTCTACAATTAAAGGCTGGTTCATGCTACATAATAACTTTCCTCTATCCACAATCACCAATTAATTTAATGCATCACATACTCTTAGTAAGGCATTTTCTACAGGACAGTAAGTCTTTTAGAAAATATGTATTGGCATCTATTCAATTAAAGTTGAAAATCTCTAGTTTAGAAGAGTAAATATTATATTTTTGGATTATAAAAACCTGAAATCAAAATCTGAATAAAAGGAAAAAACTTTTAAAAATAAACTAATCTCCTGAATTATACCATGATTCTGCAGGGTTTTAATATGTAATATATGACGAATTCTACACAGGTATTTAATATTAGAGGCCTGGTGCATGAAATTTGTGCACGGATGGGGTGGGTGAGAAGCGGTGTCCTTCAGCCCAGCCTGCATCCTCTTGCAATCTGGGACCCCTCAAGTAAGGTCCCTAGGCCTGGCTGGCGATCAGGCCCTATCGGGGGCTTTCCTTTCCCTGGCTATGTGGGATGCGACTGCTTGGCTGGCCTGGGCCTCCTCTTTGGGACAATCGCAGAGGACCCTCCCATCAATTACCCTGCCAGCCAGTGGCCTAGGCCTCCCTCTTTGGGACAATCGATCGCCTTGCAGAAGTGGCCTGGACCTCCCCTCTGCAGGATGATCGTGGAGTGATGACAGGGCCCCCCAACCAATTGCATTGCACTCGCCTTAGCTGGCCTTGCACCAGTGTGTGTCATAGCGTGGTCATCCAGAAGGCTGTTCTGCTGTTTGGTCGTTTGGTTGATTTGCTAATTATGCTTTTATTATTATAATGTTACTCAGAATGGATGTAAGCTATATATTTTTGCCATAGGTAATAGTTGGGGAATGTATTTTTACTAACAAATGTGGCATCTAAATAATACAGATATCAAAAGAAAAGCATAAAATTATATAATAAAAGAACATCAGTTTTCTCAACATTAAATATGTAAAGAATTCCAATAAAACCAATCCTCCTAAAGCTAAAATGTTAGCAACAATGAACATCAGAACTATATTTAGGTTGAAATTCTTAGATTTCTAAGAGGCACACAGACACAAAACTGACCAGACTCTGCCCACAGAAACCTACAAACCTTGGAGACCAGACACTCAACAAACCCTCCAATTGGCTTTAACAAGATTTTTAGGCCTTCACTTTTAAATATGAATACATAGCCAAGAGAAGAAACTGCTTGAAGAAAGCCTCTAAAAATATCAGAACAACTATCAAAGGATCATAAAGGAAACAACCAAAAAACAATGCTATAAAAATGAACATCCAACCAAACAGATAACTCTTAGAAATAAAAATATAATGAAAATGCTCTGGATAATAGTTAAAATAAACTTCCTAGAATATAGAATAAATATCCTAATATATAAAAACCCAGGGTCCATAATGTCCAAAACAACTGAAGGCTCAACTAAAAGCCAGGCTACTCATGCAGCAGGCTCCAGTGGGTGGGGACTGGTGAGCAGGCTGAACTGCTGACCACTCAGCAGCTAGCAGCCACTGCGGCTACTGGCAAAGCCCAGAGAGAGAAGCAGGGTCTGATCCACAGCCTCAAGGATGCCATCAGACCTGCTTCTCTCTCTGGGCCTTGCGAGAAACTGCCTCTCTCTCTCTCTCTGACATATCAGCAGTTCAGCCCACTCACCATCAGGCCCGGGGATATTGACTGGCATTGAAACCCATCAATCAGAACCAAATCAGTGAAGTGCAAGGAACTAATGGCTGCCTAGGAGGCAGAGCTTTTGACTCTGACTGGCATAGAAACCAACCAATCAGAACCAAATCTGGGTGAATTGCAATGAGCCAATGACTACCTAGGAGGCAGAGTTTCTGACACTGACTGCATAGAAACTGACCAATTAGAATCTAATCTGAGTGAATTGCAAAAGCAGAACCTAAGGAAGGAGCTGAAGAGGGGTTTTAAGAGCAACAGCTGTTTGGTGTAAGGTGTAAGAAAGTGGTTCAATTTTTTAATGACCGGTTTGGCAGTATAGTGCATGTGGCTGGCTATTAGTCCAGATATAGGGATTATGTATTTTGTCTGCCAAGAGCACCTCCTCCAGCTGAAAAAGGCTTCCCCTCACTCCCCTTTTAAACAATCCTATCCAAAATAATTTATCTATACTAATATAAGGGTAACATGCTAATTAGACTGGGTCAACCGGCCACCTTCTGAATGTCTGACTTCCTTCCGGACAAAGCCATGGTGATAGGGACCAGGCAGAGGCAGTTAGGGGTGCTCAGGCCAGCAGAGGAGGGCAGTTGGGGGTGAAGATCAGGCCAGCAAGCGAGGGCAGTTGGGAGGGAGATCAGGCCGGCAGGGGAGGACAGTCAGGGGCAATCAAGCAGGCAGAAGCAGTTAGGGGTAACCAGACAGGCAGAGGGATTAGGGGCAATCAGGTAGGCAGCCAGAGGCAGTTAAGGGTGATCAGGCAGGCAGGCAGGTGAGCAATTAGGAACCAGCAGTACCAGATTGCAAAAAGAATGTCCGATTAAAGAGGGTGCAAGATGAGCACAAATTTTGTGCACAAGGTCAGTTGTCAGTAATAAAAACAGAATAGAGTCCAACTGGTGTGACTCAGTGATTGAGTGTCAAGCCAAGAACCAGGAGATCACAGTTCAATTCCCTGGTCAAGGCGCACGCCTTGGTTGTAGGCTCAATCCCCAGGAGGGGTCATGCAGGAGGCAGCCAATCAGTGATTCTCTCATTATTTCTCCCCCCCCCCCCCCCCTCTCTCTCTCTCTCTCTCTCTCTCTCTCTGAAATCAATAAAAACATTTTAGCAAAACAAACAGTTATAAAATTTAAACATAATCAGATGTTTATGTTATAAAATTATAACATAATCAGATGATCAATCCAGGATGCCCAACACTCAACTAATAAGGATTCCAGAAAAGGTATATATAAAAATGGAGAGGAAAAATGATGGAAAAGAGCCCACCTCATGCCCAGCACAATGAGGTAAAAAACAAAAACAAAACAAACAAATCATAACAATATTCAGTAAAATTCCCAAACACCAGAAGTATATCAATAACAAGTAATCATAAAAACTTCCAAAGGTTAAGAACCAGTGAGTACTATAGAAGATGATAACAGGAGATACTTTCCAAATTCTAACAAAAAGTAATTTCCAACTGGGAATGTATAAATATAGCTATACTACCAATCAATTGTTAGAGAAGATTTTATCAGATCTAAGAGGTCTCAAAAATTTATTTCCCTTGTACCTTTTCTCAGAAAAAGACTGAATTTGCCAAAATGAGAATATAAACTGAGGAAGAAGAAAACAAAAGATAACAGAAAACAGGTTATTTAATGCAGCAGAGAAGTATGAAAGAAACTCCCAAGATCATATAAAAGCAAATTCAAACAAGACCGCTATTTAGTGGGCCTAAAATACAATCCATTTTGGTTAGAGCAGGAAGACAGGAAACTAACAAGCAGCTTAAGGTGGGTAGTAATAGAGATAAAATCAATAGGTTATGTGGTATATTTGACCATATTACAATAATGAAACAATTTTACAGTGTTATCAATAAGATTAAGTTGAATTAGTAAGAAATAGGCAAAAACCTAAAGCACACAAAACCTTACAATTTCTAAATGCCAGGAAAAACAAAAAATTGCGTGTGTGTATATATACATACACTACCAAATATATGCTATGTGGCTTGGCTATAAATAATAGTCAAAATCAGGTAAACAATAAATTCCAATTTAATAAAATTTTGTAACATAACAACATTGAGAAGAAAAGGATGAGCATAGGAATGGGTAACTGTAAAAAGCTGATTCTCATCTTCTAAAGTAGTAAATAAACACATATTTTAAAACTGAAAAATCTAGAAACAGTAACACATGTATGTCACATTGTAGTCCAGAGATTAAAAAAAAAAAAGGAGAGAGAGAGAGAGAGAGAGAGAGAGAGAGAGAGAGAGAGAGAGACACTGAGGTATGAAACGGTAAAAGAACACAAAATGACTGGCTCCAAAAATGAAAGTTATGACTGGGAGAAATGTTGCACATGATTGATACTTTTGTGACTAATTCCTGCAAGGCTATCTGACATTAAGCTACATTCATATATCATTTTTTTAAGTTGTTCATATATTACACTGATTAAAATATTTTAAAAGGCCTGGGACTGACCACAGATTTGAGAGACGTGTGTTGAATATAGGAGCCTACACAATTTACATATATTTAGAGGCATGTGATTAGAGCTTTAAGCTTATGCAGAAAACCTTTATTCTCTGAAACAGCTGAGTCAGAAAACATGTACATAAAGTATTCTTCCTCTTCCAACAAATTCTCAAAGTAGCAAATCAAGGATATGAAGGGGAAAATCTTTATTTCAAACTTTAGGAGCATTTAAAAAGTCTAAGTACTATCATTCCAAAAGTTATCTTAGATTAAGTATATAACACATTTTCTGATAAAATATTACATGCCAGTAAACAAAATTACAAGAAAAATTTTAATCTAACATTCAAATTGGTATTATGAGGAATAAATTCTTTATCAACATATAATGTTATTTTTGTTTTTAGATCCAAAATAGCAATTGCAGTAATTAATAACTAATATGTAAAAGAATATAATAATAAAAATGTATAAACACTAACTTCAAAAACTGAAAGAAATGTCTAAGAATTGTTTATCCTTTTATTCAATATTTTCAATGTGATTCCCTAAAATGCTTTGATATTTTCCTCCAAATTATCTCATTAATTTTAGTAATCCAATGTGATGACTTTTTAAACCCCCCAATAAAGCATTTATATTACTGCATTTGAATTTTCCTCTTATTTGTCTCTAACCCTTTACAAATTGACAGCTCTGCAGGCCTAGATACAGGGAGGGTCTCTCCCGTTCATCAGTATATCCCTCTCATAGATTTCCTGGCACATGGGCGACAATCAATAGATATCAAAGTAAATGAACAGAGACATAATTTGACTTAAGTATTTACCTAATGTAGAATATATTTCTTGTTCATTAAGATATTATTTAAATATGACACAGATTAGTATTTCATACATATGGGAGGAAAGTGAATAAAAAAGTACCTTTCAATGAGTGTCCCATTTTGAATCATCCAAACATCACAATATGTTCGAGACACCAGCATAACAGCAATAAGTATCAAGTAACCTGTCTAAAATAAATCAGGTACAGTAAATTAAGTAAATACATTTTAGAAAGTTTAAAAAAACACACAAATATTATCTTGGTAAATATATTTTATTTTTAAATTCAAGGCTTCATCTTAGCTTTAATACAATTAGTGATATTTTACCTATGGGGAATTTTTTTTTTAATTTTAGGTATAAATGGAAAAGGCCTTATAGATCAATTTAGTCTAACTTTCTTATTTAGAATTTAAAAGTGAATCCCAGACAGGTTAAATGACTTCATACAACTGGTCAATGTCAGAAATTAGCGGTATTTCTTAAATTACCTGAATCACATGTATTATGATTATCTTGTATTTTTAATATATTACTAATAAAGAAAAATGATAACGGTCAATATACAATTAAACAACAAATATGGGAGACTATAATTTTGCTTAAGTAGAATAAGTTTGGCTCTGTTTTTTAAGAAAATCTCTAAGAGTGCCTCTGCCCTCATAGGTCTTTCAATTTAATTATTAAGGCAAAATTTACACACACACACACACACACACACACACACACAAAAAAAGGAAGAACACAGACCAATGTAGGTATATTTGCATCACTTCATGTGCTAAGTAACAGAAAAGAATGGGGTAGCAAAAGAGGCTAATGGCATTAAAAATATATTAACCATACCAAGTAAACAAAGGAAAGAATGAGGATTGTGAGTAAAAAAAGATGAACGACTTAATAGAAAATAGATTAAAACCATATGAATTACAGTATAGCATATCCAACAGAGTTTAGACAATATAAAACTACTGAAAGCTTGTAGGTAGAACAAAATGTTAAAGGTACTGTTTAGAAAACATTACTGAAGCAATGCTGTACAAGACTGATTATCAAGGGGAAGAGATGAGATACCAAGTGGCTGTCTAGTAATCAATTATCTCTGTGTAAGATGAGAATCTACCCTCCAACCTCCAACACACATTCAAAGCTGACCTTAAACCTTCTAAGCAGGAAGAATATGATAGAAACATAGAAGCTAAAGTCAGGAAAGACGGTCTGCGACAGGGGGAGGGGGAGGGACATTTGTTGAATAATGTGCTTAATTTCAAAGTTATTAAATTGAGAGACAACTGCATCTAATACTTACGTAATTTCTGCAAAACAAATAACTTTTTTAAAAAGATGAAGGTACTAAAAATATAGCCCTTTAAGTGAAAGACAAGGCAGGGAGTCATACACAGAACTAGTGAATGAAACAATAAGAGAGAAGATGGTGTGAAATAAAGTCTGTGATTGAGCTTTATGACAAATGCTACCCCAATGTTTGCTAGAAAGAAACATACCATCTTTCTGCCCTATCTTACCATCTCAAAGTTAGATATTTAAATGACAGTTAACCTATTGATTTTAATAAATATGTCTGTATGCCACTTTAACTGTAATGTTAACATTTAATTCAGACCTTTCATACAGTATCAGTCTTCAATTAATCACTTCAGTTATATAAAGGTAACATTAGATAAAGATAGTTTATTTATTCCTTCATTTTATGCTATTGGCTTAATTTACCCTTAAAGTATCAAGGGTAAATTAGCAAATTTGTAATTAGTAATTAGCAAAATTGTCACTTTAGCAAAATCTGGCTATCTTTAATTATTGACAGTCTTTATATAAAAGACTAGAGGCCCTGTGCACAAAATTCATGCATGGGAGGGGGAGGTGTGTCCCTCAGCCCAGCCTGCACCATCTCCAATCTGGGACATTCCTCCCACAATCCAGGACTGCTGGCTCCCAACCGCTCACCTGCCTGCTTGATTGCCCCTAACTGCTTCTGCCTGCCAGCCTGATTCACCTCCTAACCACTACCCTGACAGCCTGATTGACGCCTAACAGCTCCCTGCCGGCCGTTTGCCCCTATCTGCCCTCCCCTGATGGCCTGGTCGCCCCCAACTGCCCTCCTCAGCTGGCTAGTTTGAGGCAGCCATCTTGTGTCCACATGGGGGGAGCCATCTTGTGTTGGAGAGATGGTCAATTTGCATAATACCTCTTTATTACACATAGGATATAGTTAAAATCACCACTATTCCCATTATTAATGGGTTTGCAGACTAAAACAGAAATTGAAGTTCTGCATTGATGTAGGATTTCTGTCACCTTCTGGTATATATGAATTTCCATATATTCATATGTAGTATTTTCATTTCTTTTTTCATAAGTCAGTTAATCTATCGCTATCTTCAATCTTTTATGATTTCTATAGGAATTTATTTCACTTTCTTGAACTAGGGTTAAATTTGGATTTTCATATCCTTCAAAAATGGTTCATAAAATAACTCTATAGACAAAACTGGCAGGTTGGCCAAGTTAGGCTCTTCTACCTCCTTACTAACTCCCAGAGATCTATCCAATGTCTCACAGTCATTTTGCAGTCAACAAACCTCTACTAAGTAGTTAAATAAATATATACTGTTAACTGATGAGGGGGGAAATATTAGAATCTTTTCAGATAAGCTTGTATTTTAAATAAGAACTCTCCAAAGTCAGGTAGGTTGTAGAATAAGAAAATAACTAGCTATGCCTGAAGAATCCTGGGAAACTTTTACAGAAAAAATAATGAGCATTAAGCTATTTTTAAAAAAACGTATTCGTTTCGTTTAAAAAATAACTTAGTTTTGTTGGGGTGGGAGCCCAGGATGTCACAGAAATGAAGCCATGACAGCACATGGCCTGAAAAACATGGCAAAGAATCTTCTAAGCAGATGATATTGAAAGGAAGGTCAAAGTCAGGTTGTGATTTATCCTATAAGAAAAAATATATTTTTTTTTAAATTAGGATTTTTAACTAGTTAGGAAAGGAGAAGCAAAAAGGCCAATTAAGAGATTATAACAATCCAGTAGAAATGGAAAGAGACTAATTTAAGAGAAACTCAAGGATACTTGGGAAAAGATTTAAAATACAAAGGAGGAAGGTATTTTAAAAGTTTCAGTGTGATCTCATTTTTATTATATGCTCACACCAAAATAATAAAAAAAAAGTTCTCTTTGAGTGGGAGGTTAACAGGCACCAAGAAGAAAAAAAATATCTATCTGCACTTTCCAAATTTTCAAGGAACATATTATCTTTATCTAATCAGAAATAAACAAATGTGTTTGTTTTTTTTCCAGAGTTTCTTAAGGGTGGAATTATGACGACATGGAAGTGAGGGGGAAGGAGAGCAAGTCCAGTGTGACGGAGGAATGTTTGTTCTCCTTGGGAATCAGTGTTTTTGCAACATCTTATTCTTTTCTTGCTATTAATAGATATAAGGCAAAAATGCTTTTTAAAATTTGAACAATGGGACACATCATGAGATAAATTTGGCAGAAAAGATTAAAAGGGGAGATTCTCTGAAAGGAGACTAATTAAAGAACACTATGACATCCAGGCAAGAATATTTAGATGAAAAATCGTCAGATCCCAGTGACAGAAAGGATGAGGTATGAGGAGAAGAACAGTCAAAGGTGATGGTACTGGTGCAACCACTGTGGAAAACAATATGGAGTTTCCCCCCAAAATTAAAAATGGAACTTCCATTTGACCCAGAAATCCTAGAAATATATCCCAAGGAATCAGAAATACCAATCAGAAAGGATATATGCACCCCTATGTTCATAGCAGCATAATTTACAATAGCTAATATTTGGAAACAGCCTAAGTACCCATCAGCAGATGAGTAGATTAAAAAACTGTGGTACATCTACACAATGAAATACTATGCTGCTGTAAAAAAGAAAGAACTCTTACCATTTGCAACAGCATGGAAAGACCTGGAGAGCATTATGCTAAGAGAAATAAGCCAGTCAGAGAAAGATAAATATTACATGATCTCACAAGCATCTAACAGACTGTCAAATCTCAGAGGAAAGGCAGAGGAGAGTGAGAGGGGGGGATAAGAGATCAACCAAAAGATCTGTATGCATGCATATAAGTAAAACCAATGAACAGAGATAGTAGGGGGATGAGGGCATGTGCTGGAGATGGAAGTGGCTGGGGACAATCAATGGGGGAAAAATGAAACAGATGTAATACATCAAACAATAAAGAATTTTAATTTTTTAAAAAGGTGATGATATTTTTAGTTATATAAAAGGAAAATACTGAAGTGATTATAGAAAACACAGCAACATTTTATTTTCTAGTCATTAAAAACACTTATCTGTAATACATTAAATAATAAAAAAAAATTTCAGGCCACTAAAAAAAAAAAAAGACACATCAAATAAAGATAATCTTGATGAAAGGGATAATAAAACTTTATTCCTACAACCAGCTCACTGAAAATATTTAAAATTTCAGATATCATTTTATCTTTTTAAAACACTTGTTTAATAATTTTATAACCTATGTCACCGCAATAAATTAAATAAATATTTTAAAATATATAACTAAAACATATTTAGTCAAATATGAAGCAGTAACCCTCAAACATATCCCATATCAATGTGATTTGTTAATCCCTTAATGAAATAAAATGATTTGTCTTTGTAAATTGAATCTTGTTTTCATTATAATAGAGCACCACAACTTAGGGTAGCTGCACTAATGTGCTCTAGAATGTTAGATAAAATAATATTTCATAAGCAAGAGAAAACTATTTTAAAACTGGCACTAAACAATAAGGATACTTATGTGACAATAATTTACAGACAAAAATTTAGTAGTCATCATAACCCATTTGGAAAACATTTGACCTGTAGTATGACAAAAGCTTTATAATCTTATTGTTCTAATTTCACATAACCTTTACAGTTGAACACTGAACATTATAATTTAATACGACTTACCTCTTTACAAAATGTTCTAGGGACCATGATTTTTAGAATCCGTGAGAGTCTTGAAAAAAACACTTTGTCCACCATAGCTCGCTCTTTTTTTCCTTCTTTCTATATTAAAAAATAAACAAACAAATAAATAAATAAAATAAAAACTTTTAATATAGCTATAACAAATCTACAACATATAAATTAAAGAACCATGTATTATCATCTTACATCAATATAAACAACTATCAAGATGATAGAGAGAATACAGAATTGCACTGCTCTTCATATTCAAATATGCTTTCAAGAAAATAAGATGTTATCAAAACAATAAGCTGTTTTGTTTTGTTTTTTATCTTGAACATGAATTTCCCTGATATCAATTGCAGGAAACTTTTAGATTCCTAAATTCATCATTTAGCATTTCTAATATGCAATTTGCCATTCACTCTCTCTTCCTCATAAATTCAATGACAAAGTTTCTTCACTCATACAGTTCATAGAGCAGGGGAAACATAAAAATTAATAAGTAAATTGTTACAGACTAGGCAGGGCCATGAGAAAATGAAGAATGATTCAGACAAGATGCTAAGAAAGGTCTCTTTGGGAAGGTGGCATTTAGGCTGAGATATAAACAAAGTGAAGCTATGTGAGCAGCTTGGAGGGAAGAGGGTAGTGAAGCACAGGAAATACCAAGCAGAAAAACTAGTGGGAGCAAGATAATAATATTGCTAGAACAAAAATGAGAAAGCTCAAGGTAGGCAAAGACATAAAAAGGACAAAGGTTATTGTTAGTGTAGAGGGAAACCACTAAAGATATTTAAGAATAGTAATTAATCTTATTACCCTCCGACATTTCTTCATTTTGACTGGTTTGCAATAATAAGGACAATGTGATATGGTGGAGGGTATTTATTTTATTACCCCTGGAATGTCTGGAAGAATAGGCTTGAGGAACTTCTTGGTATAAGTAAGACAGTCCAGAAGGAATCCATCCCTTACCTAGCCCCTTCCCCCATCTCCCAAAATCACAACTCAATTATTTGTTAATGACCATACTATTGATAAATACCCAAGATACAGTAAATTCTGTTAGACAAACATAATATGCCATATAAATATGCTATAGTTAAATTAGCATCTATCTTGATACCCTATAGTGAATAGTTTTGTACTAAATTATACTAGTAATAACCTACCATCTATATGTCAGACACTGTGCTTAGTGCTTTATAATCCTACTAGAGGCACAGTGCATGAAAATTCATGCACTGGAAGGGGGGGGAGGGTCCCTCAGCCAGACCTGTCCCCTCACAGTCTGGGAGCCCTCAGGGGTGGAAGGCAACCAAGAGATCAGGGGAAGGCGATGTCTCCATCACACCTCTGCTGCTGCCACTGCCAAAAGTGCCAGCCCTGGTTACCTGAGCCTCGGGTGGCCCTTGGTGGCTAGACAGCCACCATCCGAGGCTTGCCTGCTCCTTGGGCCGGCCCTGGGTGGCTAAGGGTCTGAGGGTACTGCGAGACTCCGGAAGCTGGTGCACACCTGCTGTACTGGCAAGGTTGAGGGGACTGGCCACACCCATCTTTGAGGATGTGGCAGTCAATTAGCATATTCCCTCCATATTGGCTGTGGGCGTCGCCATCTTTGAGACTGGGGCAGTCAATTAGCATATTTCCTCCTTATTGGCTGTGGGTGCTTTGCAACACTGTGAGGGTCAGTTAGCATATTCCCTCTTTATTAGATAGGATGAGGTACAGAATGTAATACAAAATTATAGACCAAGAAAGGAAGTCTTAAGTTTGTGTTTGTAGAATTAGATCAGGAAGACTGATAAAAAGTTTTGGATATTAATCAGCCTATCCTGGAATTGTTGAAATAGAGTTCAGATCTTTCAAACCTTACTGAAGACTGCAAATCTCATCCTCGTGAGTTATAGGCCCAGTCTACTTCACTTACACATACATGCACTCATTGACTCAATATCCACTTGGCCCAAGGCACTCTTCTAAGTGATGCAGACACAACAGTAAATAAAACAGACAGAAAGGGCCTACTCTATTTACTTAGTTAGCCTATTCTTCTCCAGGCAACCTCACAACTTCAACCTAAATCTTCCCTTTTACTTCACCAACCTGAAGAACAGAACAGAAAAGGCAATATACACCAACTACCTTAAAAAAAAAAAGTTAAACTACTCTCAAAATTTTTCCCCTGTCACTGCCTCCCTGCTTCACCTCATCCCATCAATAACCAGTTCTCCATTGCTAACTTAAAGTAAGATAGAGTAATTCCAAAGTGAAATGGCCATCTTCTGACTTAAACAGAGCACTGCCTATTTCTACATTGGTTCACAAAAATTAAATAAATAAACATCTAGGGCAAACAAAGAGGAAGGTTTAAAAAAATATATAAGACAGTAACACTGAAGCATTAAAACAAAAAACAAAAAACAGCTACCTGGTATATAATTCCTTCTCTTTTTTTCTGTTCCTGTTGTCACTGCTCCTATTTCTTAAGCTGTCTGAAAGCCTGCCTTGATTTTGAACTATATACTTCTTAAAGTCCTCATAGGTTTTTCTGCAAAAAAAAAAAAAAAAAAAACCACTTGGACTAGAGGGAGTTGGCTCAGAAGAGCTCAAGAAATAGAGATGCTCTACCATTCTTGAACCTTAATAAAATTCATTGTGAAATCAATCTAAATGCTAATACCTACAGAGACCATATATTTTTGTGAACAGTAGCATGTGTTTTAAATTTATAATTGACTTTCCCCACCTCTAAATTTCCCAGTACTTTTTTAAAAATACAAAAACCACTTTGATGCTATAAAATTAACATGTAAATTATAGAAAAAGCACACAAGCCATTAGATAAAGACCAGTTAAGAAGTTGAAGTAATAATGTAAACAGAAAAAAATATACCCAATATTCAGGAGGCAACAAGGGCGATGAGAAGTTCCTATTTATATATAAATCACTTGGAAAGGAAAGATGAACTAAAACTGACTAAAAAAGATAGATGTTTGAAATAGCAAATAAAATAAAAGGCCACACAGTGTTGACAAGTGTGTAAGCATTTCTGTATGTTGCTTGGGAAAGTGTAAACCAATTTATAAAAGTGTAAACAGATTATAAAGCACTTACCAATTATTATGTAGCACCTATCGAATATAAAATGTACACTGACTATAAAATGTCAAACAACCCATCAAATTTACTTTTAGTGACTTATCCTACAAATATTCCTGCACATATGCCGAAACACATAAATAAAAAACAAATAATGTTTATAATGCTGTAAAATAAAAAACCCACATGTACATCAATGAGATGTTACAAACATTTTGATAAATTTATCAATAAAAATATACACAATTATAAAAATGGAAGCAGCTCATATTCAGAGAGCAGAATACTATAGAGCAGTTAAATTAATCTATAGCCATCAACAGAGATCTAAAAATGTACTGGGAAAAAGGTAGAATAATTCATGTAATGATTCAATTTATAAAATGTTTCAAAATGCAAAATAATTTTACCTGTATTGTTTATGGAGCTATAATATCTATACCTCAAAAGTATAAAAATACTAGAGGACCAGTGCACAAAATTGGTGCATGGGGTGGGGGGTGTCTCTCAGCCCAGCCTGCTCCCTCTCCAATCTAGGACTCCTCAAGGGATGTTAAACTGGGCAGTTGTACATCTCTCACACAATCCAGGACTGCTGGCTCCCAACTGCTTATCTGCCTGCCTTCCTGATTGCCCCTAACAGCTTCTGCCTGTCAGCCTGATCATCCCCTAACCACTCCCATGCCAGCCTGATTGATGTCTAACTGCTCCCCTGCCGGCCTGTTTGCCCCTAACTTCCCTCCTCTGCCAGCCTGGCCACTCTTAACTGCCCTCCCCAACAGGGTTGATCGCCTCCAACTGCCCTCCCTTGCAATCCTGGTTCCTCTCAACTGCCCTCCCTTGCAGGCCTGGTGCCTCCCAACTGCCCTCCCCTACTGGCCATCTTGGGGTGGCCATCTTATGTCCACAGGGGAGCAGGATCTTTAATCACATAGGGGCAGCCATCTTGTGTGTTGGAGTGACGGTCAACCTGCATATTACTTTTTTATTAGATAGGATGCATGGGAATGCTAAATACAGCAAAACTGTTTACATGTTTTGAATTTTACAGCATGTAAATTACAACAAAATTAAATTAAAAAGTATTTTAAAATCAAGTCACTTATCTCTATATACTATTTTCTAACTAAATTCAATCTTTTTCTCCTTTTTAAATCTTATGCCTTATGAAAATTGTTTCAATCCACCCCATCCTACCAGATTATAACAAATTTCAATGAAAAAAAAATCCCTTTTTAATTGCTTTCCCTCATAAGTAACATATTCACTAAAAAAAAATTTAGAAAATTCTGATTAGCAAATATAAGGGGCTTACACCTACCATTTAGAGATATCAACTTAATATTTAGCATATATACCAGATTTCATTTTAGAGTGTGTGTGTGTGTGTGTGTGTGTATGTGTATAATGTGCATGTGTGTGCACACCATCAATAAGTTTTCAAGTGTGGTATCCATGTGCACAATAATTTAATGTTACCTGAATTTATCTTGCTCACACAGTATGATCAGCAAATAAGTATTTGATAAAAATATTGTACAAAAAAAAGAAAATTTTAAAACAAGTGAATGAATTTAGCTGTACTAACTAGTTTTGATGATGTCCTAGAACTTGCAGATATAATATGCAGATGATATAAATAACTAAGGTTTGATATAAATCAACCATGGTTTGATTACTCAGATATAACTCAGATATGAGAGATTATTAAGATGGAGATATACCAGACCACTAAAGATAAATACATCTTGTCCCATTTTTTCAAAGCCTGTGGAAAAGATTATAGAAATTAAAGAAGAGCAATTTTGATATCAATCTCCAGGATATTCAAAGAATAGATATTAATATGGAGGTTTTAGAAATACTTAAGAAATTCTAAGTTTACTAGGAATAAGTCATGTTAAACTCTTCTAATTTTCTTCTTTTTGAGGATATTATACTAGTATTTAGCTAATATATACAATGTAAACTCCATAAGGATAGGGACCTAATTTTATAATTGCCATTCACCCAGAGCCAAGAACAATATATATGCCTAATATAAGAGAGTCAATATTTGTTGAAAGATTAATAAATTAACCAAGGAATTTGGTGTTTCTAACAAAATTATTGTGGACTTGATGGTGAGATAAAAAAACAGATTTTGCTACAGTTAAATAAAGTTACAGCTGAATAAAACTTAACTATAAAAAAAATTAAGAGATGTCACAGAGTAATCTCATTAGTCCTTACCTAGTCAATTCTATCAGCAATTTTGACGATGAAAGAGAAGGCCAATTAAATTTACAGATAATACCTGCTATCTAATAGACTAGATATTAGAATTATATTCATAATTATACTAATAGATAGACATATTATATAGAGAATAGCCTAAGTGATCTTTACGACAGTACAACCGGAATTATCTGAATGATGTGCATTGAGCAGGCTGGCAGGCAAGTGGTTAGGAATGAGCAGACAGGCAGCTGAGCAGTTAGGAGAGAGCGGTCCCAAATTGCGAGAGGGATGTCCCCAGATTGCAAGAGGGCACAGGCCAGGCTGAAGGACCCCTCACCCTGCCCTGTGCATGAATTTAGTGCACCAAGCCTCCAATAATATATATAACAGTACATAGTGTAATATGTATAATAGTATAGATATTATATATAATATTATAAACCAGATAAGCTGACATTTACAGGAAAAAATAATATTTATTTCAAATAAATTAACTGAGTTACCATATGACCCAGCAATTCTACTCCTAGGTATATACCCAAGAGAAATGAAAACATATGTTCACACAAAAATTTGCATATAAATGTTCATGGTAGCATTATTAATCATTGCCCCAAAATAGAAACAATCTAAATTCCCCTCAACTTCTAAAATGTGGTATGTCTACACAATGGAACTATTCATCAATAAAAAGGAATGAAGTACTGATACATGCAACAACAACACAGATGAAACTTAAAAACATCATGCTAAGTGAAAGAAGCCAGTCACAAATAGCCACATTTTTATGAAATGTCCAAAATGGGCAAATCAGTAAAAACAATAAATTAGTGGCTGTCAGGGCCCAGGAGGAGAGGATAATGAAGAGTGACTCCTAATGAGTACAGGATTTCTCTTTGGGGAGATGAAAATTTTCTGGTGATCATCTCACAACTAAAACTACTGAACTGTACACTTAGATAGATGAATTTTATGGCATATAAATCAAATATCAATAAAGCTGTTAAAAAAAAAAAAAAGAAATGATTATATTAACTGACAAATACAGACACTGAGAATCGGTCAAATGGCCAGTTCATGAGAATGATACCTGAAGGTTATAATAAACTTGTAAATTTTGCCCACTGAGTATGATTTTTGGCTGTGAGTTTGTCACATATAGCCTTTATTACAATGAGGTATGTTCTCTCTATTCCCACTTTACTGAGAGTTTTTATCAGAAATGGATGCTGAATTTATCAAATGCATTTTTCTGCAACTATTGCTATGATCATGTGATTTTTATATTCATTTTGTTTATGTGGTATATTTGTTGTTCTGTGGTTATTGTACCAACCTTAATCCCTGGAATAAATCTCATTTAATCATGGTGTATGATTTTTTTTTAAAATGTATTGCTAGAGGTAGTTCCCTAATATTTTGTTGGGGATGTTAGCATCTATGTTCATGAGGGATACTGACCTATAACTTACTTTCTTTGTAGTGTCTTTGTCTGGTTTTGGAATTGGGATAATACTAGACTCATAAAATGAGCATGTGATTCTTCCCTCCTGTTTTATGGAAGAGTTTGAGAAGGATAGGTGTTAGTTCTTCTTTTATGTTTGGTAAAATTCACCTGTGAAGCCATGCAGTCCAGAATTTTTATTGGTTAGTTTTTTTTGTTTGTTTGTTTTTATTACTGCTTCAATTTCTCTAGTTGTAATCTGTCTATTCAGATTCTCTGATTCTTACTGATTTAGTTTTGGAAGATTGTTTGTTTCCAAGAATTTAACCAGTTCTTCCAGATTGTCCAATTTGTTGGCATATAGTTTGTTCATAACATTTTCTTACAATCCTTTGTATTTCTTCGGTGTCAGTTGTTACTTCTCTTTTTTCATTTCTGATTTTATTTATTTGGGTCCTCTGTTTTTCTTGATGAGTCAAGTTAAATATCTATCAATCTTGTTTATCTTTTCAAAGAACCAGTTCTTGGTTTCACTGATCTTTTGTATTTGTTTTTAAGAACTCTATTTCATTATTTCTGCTCTTATCTTTATTATTTACTTCCTTCTACTCACTTTCCATTGTATGCAGAGAGCAGTTATGGTTAAAGAAGTAAAAGCAATTTTTGGCTGACGTTTAGCAATACATATCAAAAAATACAATAGTGCTGATATATTCCATGCTAGTCGGACCAGGTCTGATCACTACATTCTATATTAAGTACAATGTCTAGAGAAACTAATGAGTATAGGTTCAGAGGAGTGAATATACAATTGAAAAAAAATCAGAAACACTTGAAAAAAATGAGGGTTTCTTAGCATGGGAGAAAAAAAGACTCAAAGGATATAACTATCTTCAAATAGTATGAGAGCCTATCAGAGAAAACAGAGTAGACTTGTCCTATGTTGCTGCAAAAGACAAAGTAGCCCATCACTAAGTGTCCAGAGAGGGAGATTTTTCTCATGATGGGCTAGAACCAATACAGTTATGTTTGCCTCCTAAGTACACTCCAACAAATGAACAGATTCAAGTAAATATCAGAAGTCTATCAAGGACTCCTATTCAGGAAGAATTCCTATAATATTAGCAGATTTGGAAGTGATATTTAACTTCTCCAATTCTAAAATGCTATGATTTTTATCTTAATTCAAAATTATATAACAAATAAGTAAATACATAAAATTACAAAGAGTTGATGATTTAGTATTTTACCTCATTTTTCTGTAATGGTGGTTTTCCATTTTTCTTACTGCAGAAAAAAAAAAAGAGAAAGCGCTTTATTTGCAAACTGTTCCCATCATAAAATTTGTTTTAAGATATCAAAAGAATGTACTAAATTCTCCACACGTCTATTCTTTCACAATATCGTAGATAGAATATATTAAGCATAGTAGTACAGCTGCATCTTATTAAGTACTAGAGGTCTGATGCACAAAATTTGTGCACTTGGGGAGGGCAGGGAGTAGCACACAGGGAACCCTCAGCCCAGCCTGCACCCTCTCCAATCCGGGACGCCTCAGGGGATGTCTGACTGCCTCTCGTAACCGCGTACTGCTGGCTCTTAATCACTCACCTGCCTGCCTTGCCTGATTACCCCTATCCCCTCTGCCTGTCTGCCTAATAGCCCCTAACCACCTTTGCCTGCATGACTGCCCCTAATCACCTCTACCTGCATGTCTGCCTACCCCTAACTGCTCCCCTACTGGCCTGATCATACCTATCTGCTCTCCTGCTGGGCTGATTACCCCTAACCACTTTGTCTGGCACCCGGGACCCAGGATTCCCTCCTCCAACCAACCACAGGCACCTGAGACCCAAGTTTCCCTCCCTCTGGCTGGCCGCAGACACCCAGGACCCAGACCAGCTGTGGCTACAAGGATATGTGGGCAGGCGGCTTTGCCCAGGCCACAGGTGCCCAGGACCACAGGGCAGGTGTCTTGTCTTTCTCCTAGGCCACAGCTGCTGGCACCTGAGACCATGGGGAGGGCGGCTTGTACCTCTCCCAGCTGCTGATACCCGAGACCACTGGGTGTGCAGCTTGTCCCTGTCCCAAGCCGCAGGTGCAGGTGCAGCAGCTGGCACCCGGTTCCACAGGGTATGCGGCTTGTCCCTCTCCCAGGCTACAGCCTGGCTGATTCCTATTCCTCAATCTCTCACTTTCTCTCTCTCTCTCTCTCTCTCTCTCACTCATATGTGCCTGGTTGGTCCCCATTCCTCTCAATGTTGAGTGTCTGAGCCATTATGGTATGTGACGACCATTTGAATATTAGCTCTTTATTATATAGGACTAGTGACCTGTTGCACGAATGAAGATTCATGCACGAATGGGCTTTCGTTCCCCTGGCTGCGGGCACCACCTTCATTCACTCTGGCCTTCGCTCTGGCCATTGCAGCCTTTCAGCTCCGGCCCGGAGCCGCCTTTCTGCCTTCCAATGCTGCCCAGAGGCCCATTAGCATGTTAGGTCAATTAGCATGTTACTCTTTTATTAGGTAGATCATTTACTGAAAGTGTTAAATAAATGTTAACTGCTATTATCAGATAATATATGCTGGTAAGTTTACACACATACACATATACAGTTGTTTTTCAAATTCTCCCATAGAGAGGTGAAGTCTATTTTTCCATCCTTGAATCAAGACTTAGCCATGTAAACTGCTTTTGCTATGAGACATTAGCAAGTTGATGCAAGCAAGGCCAGAAAATGTCTGTGCATTACACACTCTCTCTCATTTTGCTAGGAACCTTTTCCCAGCCATGTGAACAATCCCAGGTTAGTTACTACAGGATGAGAGACCATGTGTCATTCCCATGTTACAAATGAAAAAACTGGCTTGGAAAGTAGGAAGTAGTATATCTAAGTTTCATGCTACTCAAAGTAGTTAGTCTGGCACTAGCCCAGATCTAGGCCAGCACCCTGAACAATATCATAACCAAGCTTAGGTTCTTTTTATAACACACTATCATAGCACCCTATGCTACGACACATTTTAAATCTTTTGTTTAATGTCTATTTCCTCCCAGTACATTAGTTCTATGAGATCAGGAGCTATTGCGGATTGGCTTCTCCAAAAATATAAGTAAGGTGGTATTTGGGGTACAATATGTATTTGGGGCTCAACACTTGTGAGAGGAATATGAAAAAAGCAAGTTTAGGCATAATTGAAACTGTGATACAGGCCCAATAAAATTTCATCTAACCAGGTGGGAAACTGATTGACTGAAATGATCAGGTCTTTATACCTCTTCCTCACTCAGTGCACAAATGCATGCTGCTCCAGGGAAGTCATGGCCTTAGGAAGGTGGCTCTGCAACTAATGCAGATCCTAAAAAGTGGGCTGAAAGGGTTACCTGGTCTGCACTTATCGTGGCTGGACTAGACCTTCCTGAAAGGGAATCTGTTAGAATATCTCCACCCCTACTACAGGGGTCATATATTACTCAGCCCTCTATTCAACATCTAGTTGAGCTCCAAGAATCTGTAGAATAAACATTTTTAGTAATAAGATACCAGGTCACACTGAACAAGGCTAGAAAGCAAACTTAACTACAATTTAGTAAGAGTAGATGCTCATATTTTAAAAGTGCTTAAGCTTATTATTGTTTCTAATCTCAATTGTATTACAGGTTTATCTGTTTAAAAATCTTTATGAGATTGCAAATCTGTTTCAGAAATGCCATATCCTACTTAATAAGAGTAATATGCAAATTAACCATCATTCTGCTCCACAAGCCATGCCTACCAGCCACGCCCACCAATCAGAGTGAGTATGCAAATAAACCCAACCAAGATGGCTACAGCCATAGAGAGCAGAAAGGAGGCATTTCCCCAGCAATGGAGGAAGCCAAGCTTTCCACTTGCCCTTGCTGGCCTAAGCCTCCACTCAAGGTTACAAAGTTTCAATAATAGAAGGTAAACAAATCCAAACAGAAACAGCTGCCGGCATTGAGCGAGCAGGAGTCTTGGCTCTACTCCAGGCTACAAAGTTTCAATTGTAGAAAGTCAATATATCCCAGATACAAGAGCCTCCAATTGGGTCACTGGGGGACATGGCATGCCTGCAAACCACCACAGGTCCCTAACTCAGGCCAACCCATGCCCCAAGAGAACCCCCCACCCAGATCCAGGACACCCTTCAGGGAAAACCAGCCAGCCACTACCCATGCACCAGGCCTCTATCCTATCTACCGTATTTTCCGGCGTATAAGACGACCCCTAATTTTACAGTTAAAACATAGGTTTAGGCCTATATTCGCTGTATAAGACAACCCCCCACTTCCGAGGCAACACCAGTTCTTTTTTTAATAGACCGCCTCTCTGACTCAGCCAATCCAAGCAGGCTTTTTATGCATGCAAATTATACCTGTTCTGTACCCGAAGCTACACTGTGTTCTAGTAAAAAGCCTGCTCATCCCTATCTAGGGATGCCTTTTACCCCTTAGCAACACTATTTATTGAAGAGACTGTCTTTATTATATGCCCTTGTCTCCATTGTCAAATATTATTTAAGTATAATGGCTTGTTGAATTCTGGGTTCTCTATTCTGATACCTTGATCTATATGTCTGTTCAAGTGCACATAGGTAGATGAATGGATTAAAAACTGTGGTACATTTACATCAAGGAAGACTATGCAGCAGTATAAAAGAAGGCTCTCTAACCCTTTGAGAAATCATGGAGGGATCTGAAGAGTATTATACTAAGCCAGTGGTCAGCAAACTCATTAGTCAACAGGGCCAAATATCAACAGTACAACAATTGAAATTTCTTTTGAGAGCCAAATTTTTTAAACTTAAACTTCTTCTAACTCCACTTCTTCAAAATAGACTCATCCAGGTCATGGTATTTTGTGGAAGAGCCACACTCAAGGGGCCAAAGAGATGCATATGGCTCTCGAGCCGCAGTTTGCAGACCACTGTACTAAGCAAAATAAGCCAGTTGGAGAAAGACAAGTATCATATGATCTCACTTATATGTGGAATCGAATGAACAAAATAAACTGATGAACAAAATAGGCCCAGCGACATTGTCATAGTTCAGAGGGAAAGGAGGTTGGGGGTGGAGGGGGTGAAGGGGTAGGAAGAGATTAACCAAAGAACTTATGTGCATACATGCATAGTCCATGGGCAAACGAACAGTGTAGGGAAGGCCTGGGGAGGGAGTGGGAGCAGAGTGGAGGGGGTAAACAGTGGGGAAAAAGGGGACATGTGTAATACTTTCAACATTAAAGATAAATTTTTATAAAAAATTTAGTCTTTCTCACTAAAGTAACATAACCTTATAGGACAATGGAAGGTCTCACTGTGAGAAGTCTAATAAAAGATTGAAAACAGGGGGGAGTAAGCAGTGTGGATATCTAGGCAAAGAGTATTCCAGGCAGGGGAACAGCAAGTACAAAAGCCCCGAAATAAAATGCCTGGCCAATGATGCTAATGTGCCCAAAACTGAGAAGTGTGATTAATCAAACAATCCTACTTCCCCCATCATACACAGCGACAAAGTTTGAGAAGACTGCATCTGGATCATACTTGCCATTAGCTGGTTTCTGACAAATCCTTTAAGGCCTGCTTCACCTATGGCTGCTTAAGCACCTCCTTTATATTCAGAGGACACAAATGGGGCCAGGGACTGCCCCTGAAAGACCTATACAGTTCATCCTAAAGGCCTCATGCAGCTACAGCCCCTCACTGGACTTATGCTTACATTTGCAAAACATTCAGTGGGCCTGTAAAACTGAGAAAGGTGAAACCAGCCCCTTCCAGAGCTTGATTTGAAAGGAGATCTCAGGATGAAAGTATTCAGGAAAGTTGTAGTGAGGTTAGTGGGGAGAAAAGTACAAGGGGCAGAAATAGAGTTAAGAAAACATCTAATGAGTATAGAAAAGGCCCAGCAACAGGCCACAAGGCTGAGGCTTAGAGAAAAATAGTGAACAAATTTCCAACAGTGGGAATGTCTAAAGAGCTTGTAAATAAAAGAAAAATCTCCATTTTAAGCTGCTCATTATGGCGATAAAATCCCTGCCACTGTTCCCAAATTTTCAATAAAATTCTACTACAAATATCTGCTTTGTGGCTGATGCTGTAAAGGAATGAAGGCCGATTCCAAAAAGATAGGCTCAAGAGATAAGAGGTAAATGGAGCAGAAGTGAAGTAGGCATGTCTAAGAGAAACACAAGCTCCCTAAAACACCTCTGAGATATTTGAAGGAGGAGACTGTGTTCCCATCATCTATAGAATGGAGCTCTGAAAAGG